TGCTCCTCTGCCCCCTAGTGGAGACATACAGTAACAACAGACACAAACACAATAAACTCCAGTTACAGCTTTGAAAAATAGTAGCCTTTATTTGTCTGATGGTGTTATATTTACAGAGAGCACGGCCCACTGTTCTTGGTACATACGGTCAAGAACCAAAAAATAATAATTAAGCAAGCAAAACCAGAACAATCGTTGACATTTGAGATGAGAAGATAAATATTAAACAGATGCAGTTGTGTAAAAAAATATGACAAAGTGTGAGGCTTCAGCATCCAGTGAGTAAACGTCCACTCATGCCCTGCTAATACATTTAACCGAACAATACGGTGCTACAGCTCCGTATACACAACTGAATTACATCAACTCTTGATTTAAAAACGCAGGGAGTAACTTAAAATATTAGACGATTAAAACCATGAAACAAGTGGTGACAAAATGTGGATACAACATGTTTGTGACATTTAACTGGGGTCTAAAATGAAAAAAGGTTTTTGCTTCAGAAAAAAAGTTCTGCAATTTAGTGCGTTGTTGCATAAATAGTGATTTGACTGGAATACACACTTTGCTTCTTATGATTATTGTCAATGTTTATCTAAACAGGATTGTTTAACATGTGACATTTTCAGCAAACCTTAATGTACCAATAACTCTAAACTAAATGGTTCTTTTTATTGGTTGGTTGGTTTAGAAACAGGAGCTGTAACTGCAGTCATTGATGCGTTTGGATACTGATACAACAAGCTTTCCATAAATAACAAAAACCTAATATTCCAACAAATAATAATTCTCTTTTACACTGATATACAAACAGAACAAAAAGCTCATAAATACAGGGCCATGCGGAGCCCCGAACATTCAAACAAACAATAATTGTACTGTGGTTTTAAAATGTAATGTCATTAAATTAAACTGCGAGATGTTTGTTTTATGGAAATCTGAATAAATTACCACACCAAACCTGTTTTCACTGAGCTGCTGGGATACTGGAGCGGACAGCTATAAAACAAATTGTTTTAACTACAGAAATGTTATGAATTAATAAGAAAACCGGTGGAAACTTTTAAACATTTGGTGAAATGAATATCAAGTACGCTACAAAATCATTTTCGTGGAGAAAAAAATAATCTAAGTCTACAAAACCAGCAAGAAATATAAAGCCTAACCCTTTTCTCATCAGAATGAATTTATATTTCACTTATTTTCCTCCTATTCTGTACATAACTATTTATAAATTACAAATATTATGCTATTTGTGGACAAACCTTAGTGATCAGAGTCATACTGTTAAAGAGGTGGGCTACGGTGCGGCCCAGCAAGTTATGATTATTACATAATAAGGTAATCATTTTGCCTGAAATACTTATGTACAAATACTGCTTGCTGTAATATCTACACAGTCCTGTCCACACAGTAACATTTAATCTGACATGTGAAAGAAAGACACATTTTCTGTTGTAATGTTTCCTGCCAAGTAGTAAAAATTTAAAAACAGGAATCTGAAAGTCTCATTCTCTGATTTGTTGTTATTTGTTGTCTTTCTTTGAGGGGAAACACAATAAAAAATGAAAAGTTTGAGGCAGAAACTAAACAAAAAGCATGAGTTTAAACTTGGCCTCATCATGTAGGGATAAAAAGGTAACAAAATCAGAAAGACGAGGGACGACATGAACAGAAGTTTTGCTTCTGTTCTTCCCCCCATCTGTTATCACAACGTCCTCCCAGATATGAACGATGGCAGGCACTTGAATGTCATGGCTGTGTGCGAGTAAGAAAAGTGATGGATAGTCACGTGAGATTGACAATTTTAAGAGTGTTTCATGAAAAAAAAATTAATAAAGTCAAATACAGCTAAAGAAAAAGGTGCCTTCCCCTCACGATTCCATCTCGTCTTCATCTAAAGATGGCGGCACAAAGCTGAGAACCTCTTCGTAGGTTAACCCTGAAAGAACAAAACACAACAAGAAGATTATTTACCATTATAATGGACTCCATTCAAATCCTGACTCCGTTCTGTGCCAGCTTACTCTTCCACTCCTCAATGTCCAGCTCGCGGCTTTCAAAGCTCTGGTCGTAAGGCTCCGCTTCGGGCTCGTCGTCTGGATCGTGGTACTGAGCGAAGTAGGAGTGGGCCAGAGCCTCAGACGCTGTGATCCGCTTGTCTGTGTCCAACACGAGCATTTTTTCCAGCAAGTCCACAGCTACAGCAGCAAAACAAGTGTGAACAATAATGAATGCATGTTTAATACCACTGATGAGGTCATTCATCACATGACTCTGTCCAAAGACACCACGACACAGGGATTACTTTAAAATTACACACAGTGAAAGTTTCCTAATCTCATGCCTTTTGTGACTCCAATGCTGAGATTTCTTTGTTTCTTAAAACTAGTTTTGATATGAACATATGTGCATTTACTGCAAAAGTTTGCCTGCTTTAACACCAGGATAAAAGTATTCTTCAGTATAAAATAATGAGCATTTGGTAAAATTGTTTCAACATTTTTTAGTTCTTTTATTTCAGGGCTGAGATACTTGATGACAGAAAAGTTTCAAACGGTTTGTGTGCACAGGGTTGATAATTCCAGGAATTTTTTAAAGTTCGAAACTTAAAATGGGAATTAACAGGAATCTATGGGAATAAACAGGAACAGAAAGAGGAACAAGATGTAGCAACTTGGACAGATGGCAAGTCCATTTAGAGCTTTAAAAGCAAATAAAATAATTTTAAAATTAATCCTAGAATGTACAGGCAGCCAGTGCAGGGAGGCTAAAACAGGAGAAATGTGGTCAAAGTTTTGTGTGCCAGATAAAACCGTGCAGCAGCGTTCTGTAAACTCTAAAGCTGAGCGATACATGCTAATTTTAGTCCAGCATCAAATTTGACCCGTAGGTTTGTAATAGTTGGCCTGATGTACTGGGCCAAGGAACCAACATTTATATTGGGAATCTCAGTGGCGCTTCCAAAGACCATCACCTCAGACTTTTCCTCAATGAACTTTAAGAAGTTCATAGCCATCCAGGCTTTGATGTCCTCCACACATGAAAACAAAGGGCTGAGAAAGTTAAGAGTCCTTTGTCTTTAGCAGGACATATATCTGTGTATCATCCGCATAACAATGAAAGGAGGTCCCATACGTTTTAAAAATAAAGCCAAGAGGGAGCAGGTACAGCATGAAGAGGAGGGGGCCTAAGACTGAGCCCTGTGGAACCCCACACAAAAGAGGAGTAGAGGAGAACACGTGGTCACCAAGGCAGACACAGAAAGTAAGCTTACTAAATTACAAATATCCCATTTTAATTATTTTTTTTTGTTCAAGCCAGGAAACTTTTTATCTGAATAATAATAATAAAACTAAAAAAAACTCATAGTCATGTCTGTATGATTCCATTAGAGGGAATCAGAGAGCCAGCAGTGATACAAGCCAGAGTCTAAAAATGAAAAAAATAAAAACTCACCAAGAGGGTTGGCACCAATAAACACATCAGCAAAGTTCCTCTTGGGCATGTGGGGAAGTGAACTGATGTAGTTCCTTGCCTGTGAAGAAAGAGCAACGGTGTAAACAATTTTAAAGAAAAAAAAAGTTTTACAAATTCTGACGCAACTACTCATCCAGTTCGACTGAGCAAAATACGTTCAAACTTTTGAGTAAGTGCATTCAAAACAGTCCAGTTAATAACACTCGTTACACAAAAGTCAAGCCATTCGAGCTTTAAGAACAAAGCTGCACAGCTGATCAGAGCTGTATCTGCTCTGGTCCGGCTCTCTGACAAACCCTGCAGTCACGAGCACAGTGAGTCAGAAAGGAAACGGGGAGCACGTGAAGAGCGAGCAGCGGCTGGCGTGCTTGGAAGTGTGGAAGGAAAGCCTGTAAACAAACGAGGAACCGGACCGCTGCTGAAGGACCGTGTGGGAAAGCGAAAGGGGGGAGCGGGTCTCACCTCGTGGCTGGGCATCCTGCTTATGAGTGAGGCTGGGGGAGTCCCCGTCAGGCGCATTATCTGCTGCAGCTGGTTTATATCTAAAGCTTCTGAGTCAAGGGGTATCGCAGCATGGAGCTCAGCAGAAAGCACGGGTGCTCACGGAGGAAATTTAGGTAGCAGGTCGAAAGAGCAAAAGTGTATATGTGTGTGTGGTGGGGTGGGGGGTGGGACATGGAGTGGGGGTGAAGAGACAAGAGCCTGAGTTTTAGAACAGCGTGACCTTTGACTGTTAGCGGGAGAGGACACCTTTAAGTGAAGCCCAGCAGTCAATAAAAGAGGGCAGAAGGCTCCACGAAAACAATAGAACATGCAGGAAAGGCGTCGAAATCAAAGGTTTGAGTTCAAAGGTCAATTTAGGAAATGGCGTACTGAAACGCACAACGTGAAAGCATCGACACAAGAAAGTACCCCAACTGCTACCAGAGCAACACAGAGCGGCATCAGAGGCAACAACACTGAGATGGATGGGACTTTTGACACTCACAGAGTCTGAGGAGATTTTCACCAAGAGCTCGGGCCCTGGGGTTCCGACGAGCATCATTATAAGCTTCAACTGATCAATGTCTACCACACTCACATGAAGGAAAAAAAAAACAAAAGATGGAGGGCGTTCATGAAGGAGATCGCATGTGCAACATGTGATCTGCATGCAAAATAAAGGTAACTTCTTCCCAAAGTGAAGCTAAGATGAAGCAGGAGGAACTAAAATGGGCTCTACTGTGCCACACTGTCGTGCAGTAATAATTAAAGTTAAATAAAAAGGGTTCCCTGCGCATCGTTCAGTTTGCAAACAAAATAATGATCCAAGATGCTTGTGACACATTTCACATTCAAGCATGTTGTATCAAAGCATGAGGCAAAGAAAAATGACACGAAAACACAATTTGTCAAAGCTCTTTGATGCATTAGTATTTAATTTATTCATCTGTAGAACTGCTTGACATCAGAGCAAGTAATGTGTCTTTAACAGCAAGTGTGACCACGTTGATAAATTACCTAATCAGAAAGCTTCTTGTTTATTTGCTGTTGCTCTGTAAGATGTAGGTCATGCCCATGGAAACCTGAGCTCTTCATTAAGCAAACTAAACATGACCTACGTCAACAAAAGCGGTTTATTTTATCTGTAGTTTCTGCAAATGTCGTCCGTTATAAATCTGTTTCAGTTCATAGATGGGTCCATCTGCTGCAGGTCTTTATCTACGCGTCCTGTTCTTGCTCTTTAATGACAAGAAATTTAACTTTTTTAATTTATTTATTATTTGACAAAAAAGTCAATAGTCTAGTTACGATAGGATAATGCCAACAAACTTGTCACAAATTAAATATGCAGTTAATCGTGAGTATCTTCAGTCACCTACAAAGCAGTATTTAATAAATTGAATAAATCAAAACATGAAACTGAAACTAGAAAAAGTTCAGCATTTTAGCCAGAATACCTAAAACTTGAATGTTTAAGATGGTAGCAGTCCACTTTGGTCTTGGCCCTGCTCAGACTAGCCATGAGCTCGTCAGTCTGTCAGAAATAAACGATTTCTCCAAACTGAAATCATTCAAACCAAAAACATGCATGTTAGGCTGCCTTCAGGCCCCCTTGCAAAAGAGATGTGTGATCTCTCAATGGGATTTGCCTGATTAAATAAAGGTTAACAAGTAAAGAGCTATCTACAACAGGTAATATGTTAATAGTTCATAAATCAACGATGGGTGGCTAAAACGTGCTACAGTACAGCTATTGTAGCACATTTTAGCTTGTTTCTCATATTTTTAGTTATTTTTTTATTAGTATTTTCTCTCCCTAAATACCTTTGTATACCCTTCTTATGTTAGAAAAATTAAATAATTACAGTAATTAAAAATTTAATTAAATAACGCTCACTGCCAAAGAGCTGAACTAGTACTTTAATGCTCGCTGGTAAATTAGCTGCAGGTCTACGGATGAAAACAGTAACTAAACACGAGACTTTAAATATCTGGCTCCTTGAAACAGCATGTTAGTAGATAAAGTCAATAAAACTCCATCGCGCAGCAAACTTTAACCTAGTCTCTTTTTATACGGATAAAAGAAAAGACATATCACGCAGGTCGTCTGGCAAATTACGCCGAACCTACAAGTGCCGCTCACACCTGCGTCGCCTCGGACTGTATACACGAAGATCAGATTTCATTCAGACAGGTTGGAGGAAATACAACAGAAGTTTGCTGTTTATATAACTGGCACCTGAGAGCGGTTCAGATCTGGTGAAAGGGTACAAGCTCAAACACACGCCCACGGAGAACATGCAGCGAAGGAGTGGACGAGCCCATTGATCATTTCAAGCAGGAAACACAAACACATTATGTAACGTGCTTTTACGTTTTAACACAACCATGGCCTCTGTATTTGCATGCGAGCATGTGTGTTGTCACGAGGGTGTGCGTGTACGTGCATGCGTGGTTGCAGTACTGGTTCATGGGAGTCTCTGTGGGAGGGAAGCAGGAAAAAGTACTGCACAGTGGAGAGTCAGCAGAACTGAGCCAAGCATCGGACAGAAACGTTAACCTCAATGCTACTGCATTTTTAGGACATAGTGTTCATGCACAAGATTCCTCCGCTGTTCTGGAATGCAACGTACAAACTGTGACTCTTAGCGTGGCGTTCAGGTCAGCCTGGATAGGGTACAACTGTTTTTAAAAACGAGTTTTGCAAGAGGCTGACGGTGCTATGTAAAACAATTCATTTACCTACGCCGACAGTGCTTTTAGTGCAGGTACTGTACATCTAAAATCAAGTGCGCTGCATTGACCCGCCCCAAGATGCACAGAACCACATAAATGTGGACAACAGGAGTGCATGGAAGCGACAGAGGTGAAAGGATACGATCTGTGCCAGGGAAGAGCGTCCGTCCTGTGAGAAGTTCTGCCATGATGCAACCCACTGACCAGATATCCACTGTCGAACAGAAAAACGTTCATTAGCACATAAAGCAAGCGTTGAAACAAAACGTCTTTTAAAGACACGGTCAATTAAACACCTAACATTATATCGCACGCCTCCTTTCATGTCAAAGTTTTAAACTAAGATTGGCTTCTACTGAAAAGAAACAAATGTTTTAGTCAAATCTAGAAAAAATAAAAAAAACGCCATCAGCACTCGCACTTAATGTCGACTCGTGCAATCTGTGTTCGGAGCATGTTTTGGGAACGTCTCTCAGCGACTACCACACCAAGTTTTAGCTTAGACATCGTGAACTGGGTTCACTTCTAAAGGTAATCAGCACATCCAGTGACTACTTTCTGCAGGTTTTAACAAAAATACATCCGCTGGTTCGTGAGATATTTTGCTTACACAACTAATGTGCATGTGTGCACACACTGGCACAGCTCTTTTGGCGGCGGCCAATCAAAGCATAAAAAGTTGGACCGCAATGGAATTGAGCAATAGCTGCAATTGATCAAAAACTAGCTTTTAGCAGAGCCTTGTAATAAGATGACCAAGAAAATCCCAACATTAATTTACCCAGTAACATATGAAATTCAACTTTACTGCAGTAAAAAGGCCACTTAAAAGGCAATTAAGACTAAAAATGATTCTCAGCATCTTCAGGAAACAAGTTCATTGTAAAGAGAAAATACCCTAAATGGGACAAAGCAGGTGCAGAATATAATTCTGTCTCTGCGTCACGTTTTGGAGGGGAAACAAATCTGTGCAATTCAGCGATGTAATATGAGCGAGGTCAGGGGTGTCCAAAGTGTGGCCCGAGGGCCATTTGCGGCCCTGGCAGTGATTTTGAGCGGCCCACAACTGCAGTTTAAGAATGGTACCATTTTGGCCAGCAGGCTTAAGAGGTTAATGTAGACTTTCTGTAAATATGTTGGTAATCCTTTTATATATAACATTTAGGTTTAACAGCAAAACAGATGAAAAACAATCTTCACAAAATGAGCAAAATTAAGCAAAATGCAAACCTTTGGCTATAATCTTTTTATTTTCACTTCATGGTGCAAATAACCAAAATCCATTTACTGGTTTCTACCAGAAAGGAGACTTTTGGATGATGATTCATAAAACTTGACTAAATATTGCAGTTGATAAAATAATTACGAGGGAAGTTGGACATTTTTAAATTAATATAACGTGGTGTCATCTACATATGAGTTGACCAACTTTATCAAACCGTCTATGAATCTGATGTAGCGACTGACAGCTGGACCATTTTTCAGAACTTGGATCAGCCATTTGGGCCATCCGTGATCCAAAAGACTGATGGACCCCCTTTTAAAAGGACACTTACTCAAATTACGCTTTTGTTGCTGAAAACAGACTAAAATTAACTTTCCAAACACAAGAAAACAACATAAACCCAACAAATCAAATAAATAAATCCTTTTAAATAAAAAAAATATATAAACTCAGTGTTTATGAGGCTTTTAACGTTTTGATCTATAACAACTTAAAACTCCTTCTCCATCAAAATCAGTAAACTTTGGTCCTTTCTCCAAAATATTGTTCACACTGAGAGTTAAATTCACATTTTTATGGCCCACGGGTCCTTTCACCTCAAGTTTTGGCCCACATATGAAAACATTTGGACACCCCTGATCGAGGTTCTGTGAATGTGTGCACGATCAGATGATTATTTTCGCTGCATGACTAAATGTGTGTCGGCTCACCTGTCATGTTGTAGTGCATCCAGTTCAGCATGATCTCAGGGGCTCGGTACCACCGGGTGGCAACGTATCCCGTCATTTCATCATCTGTGTGCCGTGCCAAACCAAAGTCAAGGATCTGCGAGACGAGAAGACAGCAGACTCCACTGAACACCCTGCATTCTGCGACGATCCACATCGTTTATGATAATCTCTGTAATGACTGGTTCCCCACCTTAAGCTCACAGTCTTCGTTTACAGCCAGATTGCTGGGCTTCAAGTCCTAAACAAACAGATAGAAGTCAAGGGAAAAAATACACACGCCTAATGTTCCTTTCTTTCAGCAAATAAAATGTTTAAAAAGCGCAGTGACTGTTTGCTTTGGTTGGAAGAAATCAGATTATCTTAATCTTCGGAGTTTATGTACATGCTCGGGAGTCATCACTTACTCTGTGGATGATATCTGCAGAGTGGATGTACTGAGGGAGGAGAAAGAAAAGCAGACTTAGAAACTCTGCTCGGAAACAAAGACATTTACAGTATTCTTTCGGTGATTACATTTAATCTGTTCAAGCAGCTTTTCGTTGTTTGTGTGTGTTTTTAAGAATCGGGACAAAAGTCAAATATCAAACACACTCAAGAGCTCTGAGTTGATTCTGGCACTGATTTGTTTCTTTTACACACACACACATTAGAAAGCTAAATATCTAAGCTCAGTTATAGAGAAGTTCAACAAACCAGTAATATATTCTAATTAGAGCATAAATGAATATGTATTCAGCTAAAAATTAAAGAATACGTTGTATTTTTTTCTATAAGTGATCATTTGCGTGTGCCTCAGTGACTTTAGTGAAGCAGCCTGAACGTTCAGAAGCAAAAGCTCACCGACCTTCAAGCCTCTGAGGATCTGGTAGATGAGGAACTGAACGTGGTCGTCAGTCAACTTCTGACACTTTACGATGTTGTTCAGATCCGCTCCCATAAGATGCGTCACCAAATATCTGCAAAATTATAACGTCGTAAAATCAAAATGGTGTTTTCCACAACAGTTCTTTGGGTTTTGACTCGTTGAAACATTGTTTATCGTCGTGTTTTACTTTTAAAACACATTAGAAACGATTTCAAAGACGCTATATTTTTAAAGCAAACACATTTTTGTGGATTGGAGGTAAATTCTGAGAAAATATAACCAGAAAAAAAACGTGTATCAAACAAATAATTTCATGTTATTTGCACAGAGGCTGCACAGCTGCAGAAAGAAAAGCTTTGCAGAGAGTGGTGAAGGCTGCACAGAAGATGTTGGAGTCAGCCTCCCCACCATCACAGACATCTACACCTCCAGATGCAGGAAGAGGGCCACCTGCATCATGAAGGACCACACTCACCCAGCACACTCACTTTTTGCCCCACTCCCCTCAGGAAGGAGGTTGAGGAGCATTAAGTGTAGAACCACTAGACTGAGGAACAGCTTCTACCCTGAGGCTGTTAGACTCATGAATCTCTAACTAGAATAATCATATCATGTTGCTGCTGATTTGTTTCATGTTGCTGCTGATCTGTTTCATGTTGCTGCTGATCTGTTTCAATGTTGATGTGTTCATGTTTGTGCTGATGTTCAATGTTTTATGTTATGAGTGCTTAGTGTATATTTAGTTGATGTTTTTCTTAGTTAATATCTTAGATGTTATTGCTGTTTTTCTTATACATTTTATTGTTGGATGTAACTGGGACCCCGTGTACATAATTTCGCTCCACCACATGTACCACATGAGGTGCGAATGACAATAAAGAAACTCTGACTCTGACTCAGAAGAAGATGATAAATCATGTTAAGCACCTGCTTCTCATCATACAAGCAGCGTTGAAATCCAGGAAGTCTGAGAGGAAGGGAACGTGGTCTACATGGCTGTAGTTGATCAAAGTACATGCATCTTTAAAAGTGCCCCTCTTAATGAGTTTGACACACACTGGAGAACATAAACGAACTGACGGACCGGGGACGCTCGTGTGACTGGTAGATAATGGTTTTTCATTCGATATATGTAATCATTTTTTTGTTGTTTTTTAATCTGTCCGTTCCCCTTTCTTCTGCTACAAGTTTGGGATTTATCAACTGATCGTTAAAACATGAATTAATTAATAATTAATTAACTAATCATGAGTTTTTCTTTTCTGGAAAGAATATGGATGAATTAATACAAATAGCAGAAAAAGAGCTAGCTGAGTTAAAAAAAAAAAGTGGTTTGATTATAATAAGATATCTTTAAATGAAAAAAAATTATGGTATTTTCAGGTAATCGGATTTATAATAATAAAGTTACATATAAATGGAGTTGAAATCAACAGAGGTTATGAGACAAAATTTTTAGGTATCATTCTGGACAGCAAACTTAGTTGGAAGCCTCATATTGAATATATTAAAAATAAAATTGCAAAAACTATTGGAATATTGTTTAAAATAAAAGATTTAATAAATGTAAAAGGCTTGCATATTAAATACTCTTCCTTGATTATGTCCTACTTGTCATATTGCTCAGAAATATGGGGAAATGCAAATAAAACTACTATTGACATATGAATAAAGTTACAAATAAAAAGCAATTAGACTTATTAATAAAGTGGGATATTGTGAACCACCTAATAAACTCTTTATTCAAAGTAATACTTTAAAATTTAATGACATTGTTTATATAAAAATACTGGGAATAATGTATAAAGCACTGAATAAAAGTATTCCTTCAGGAATTCAGAAAATATCTAAGTTAAGAGAGAGTAAATATAATGTATGAGGTTTGTTAATATTTGAACAAGCTAAAGAGAAAAGTAAAGTAAAATCAAGATGTACTTCAGTTATCGGTGTAAAACTGGAATAAATATGTTTTTTTGGTGAGCTTTAAAAGAGCCTTTAAATATAAAATTATAAAAGCTTATGGAGATGCTATGTAGATGTATATATGTATTGTGTAACAATGTATGTAATGTGAGTATATGTATGTATTATATACAAGCATATTTAAATCTTTAAATACATGGTAAATGTCTGTATGTGTACTTATATGTGGACAGTAGATATTTGTCATGGTGTAAACTGCTGAGTCTATGAACAGGGTAGGCAAGTATAAGCCTCGGCTTCAGCCTATTCCTTTTTTGGTAAATAATCAATTTACCATTTTATATTGTTTTCCTTTTTTGTAATGTTTTTAATTTACCAAAATAAAGTTGAGTTGAAAATTAGGGACACACGATAATGGATTTTTGGCCGATAGCCGATACTGATTTTTCCCCCCTAGACCTACTTACAGAGACTACAGAGCTTCCACTGATATAAAAGGCACTGTTTATATAGTTACATATATAAACAGCACCTTTTATATATCAGTGAGTAATTTTTGATGGAATGACTGATTTCCGATATTTAACTTTATCGCTAATATCGACCGATACCGATACCGTGCCGATAATATCGTGCATCCCCAACATGAATTACCTGTAGATACTGAATATAAGCCGTAGCTACTTTTGTCCACAACGAAAAAAACTAAACATGTTTGTTTCAAAACCGATGCAAAAGACAAATAAATATAGCATTAATGTAAAGGTTTAACAAAGAACACTCTTTTTCACACACATTTCCTAACATCAAAGCTTAGTCGTAACAAAAACTGGATTTTCAAATCAGTTTCTAGGTTTAAATTAAACATAAACACAGATGTGTCTGCTGCATTTAGTACAAACACCAGGCCCTCTGCACACCATGTGTCTTTAAGCCTATGAAGTCTGCGCTGTGCACGATATATCTGACCTAGATTCATGACAAAAGATCAGTAATATGGCTGCCCTGTGAGCAAGCTACACCCATACTGCTCTTTAGCACTGGGAGGACGGGCCTCACTGCTTTCACTGCTGATCATCTAAAGGAGGTGTCTTGCAGCCTGAATGTTGTGGTTCATCGCACGTTTCCACAAAATGTGCAACAAGCTGGTGACGCAACACCAGGCGGAGAATTCAAGGATGCTGATTGAGTAGTCGGTCCACACATGCACGCTGTATACCCGGAGACTGCCAGATGGCTGTTGCCATGGAGACTAGCTGCGATGTGCTTTGTTCACCCTACATTCACCTTCGTACAACGCTCCACGAGCTGCTGGACTCACAAAAAGTTGCGGCCTGAAGAACTGTTGTGACTCGACTGCGTTAGTCACCCCAGCATCTGCTGCCACAAACGGTGTTTTACGTTTTGAAGTGAAGTTACAGCAGAGAGGAAACACAAAGTATGACAACAAAGAGGCAACAAAGCTGAAAGACGGGAGTGAGGAGGAAAGAAACAAATGACTCACACGTCGTTGAACTCGTCTAAGCTCGTCGCCGGAGTAAAAACGTCTAAGAGGCCGATCACCTGGAGAGAGGAGAGGACAAGAAGTTACTAACAAGTCAAAACTAAATACTTCAATAAATCTGCAATGTTTTTTGTTCAATTTTTGGTGTAAATTGTAGTTTTAGTAGCGCTGACGGACAAGGGTGTTACATTTTATCATTTCTATCAAGACCTAGTTTCTAAACTGACCTGAAAGCCTCTGAGTTTAAAGTAGATCGAGCCAAATGCGCTTCTCTTTCCCCATATCTCATCTGAGCTGTTTACGTTTGATTATGGAGCAAGCTCTAGGTCAAAATGCGTCTCTGTTTTAGTTACCAAGCTCTTTAATTATATTCATGTGACTGATACGGAGAACGTTTGCCTGCATCTCTGAAATCCTATCTGTTGTCGTCAAGCGTGCGCATTAAGCAGATGTCTAAAAAGCACTTTTAAAATGTTGACAATGCAAATAAAAAGGGTATCCTTTCTGGATATTTTGCACAAACCTAATTGCACATTATAACGAGCTGCAGCGCCTACGCCATTAACTGCAATACAATCGTGCAAACGAGCGGTTGAACAGGAAAACCAGAAGTGACGAGTGAAAGTGAAGGATGTGACTGAAGCGTTTCATAGATGAATCACAACAAATGAGGGAGAAAAAGAAAACGCACGGAGGAAGAGCCGAGCATCTCTGCAGCACCTGCTTTTGCACACTCTCCTGCTTTTCCTGTCGAATAAAACGCAAGCATGCACACTGATAACGAGTGCTAACCCTGCCCCCACCCCCTCAGGGGTGCAGATGAGAAAAGAGGTGGATGTAGGTAGTTTGCATATACTGTACACAGAAAGTCCCACCCACACAAGACCCAAACCCACAGCTTATTGGTGGTGCCAGATCCACAACAAGCAACCGATTGGTTCGCCAACGCTGTCCAAAAATCAAAACGCGGGTAGTCTCCTGGCAACAGGATGAGCAAAAACACTGAACCTCCTCGTGTGCGTAAGTCAGAAGTTAAGATGAAAGAACTGCGCAGCTTTGTGATTTAGTTCCCTGTAATGAGGAATCACGGCTCAACTGCATGCGCATACTCTTACATAAACCGTGCACGTTGGTTTTATAATTCAAGCAGACTGCTCATCAGATCTTTATACAAGCTTGTGCTCGGTGCAGTTACAAAGCGGGGACTGTCGGGTCTTGAATAATCCTTGTTCGCTGGAAAACCTGTTTTGCAAATGAATGCACTGAGGTATTTATAGTAGCTGTGCTTTGTGCAACACCAAGCTACATAACTGCTCAAACTGTTTCAGGAGTTCAAAAAGGGCGGGCATGAATTAATAAAAAGAGGTTGAATAATGTTTCGTACGGAACTGATAAAGAGGCCTGCTTATTTTAACTCTGCATGGTTTCACCATCAAACTAGATGAATTCATTTCCACAGGACTCTCCTTGAAACACACGGAAACGGCTCTTCGGCACGTTCTGAACTGCAGCTCGTGAGCTGCTCAAACACAAGTGTTCAAAAACGGCAACTTCAGAGTGCCAGCAATCTAATACGAGGTCTTTTTTTGGAAGACCTTGGTGAGACCGACGCTCGAGCACGAGTCACGTCAGTGTTTAGAAACACTGATCTCGAGCGATACGAGGCGTCGCTCCATAAATATGCGATGACCTAAAGAAAAGCAGTTAATGTATGATATTTAGTATACTTTTTATTGTTCAAGTTGAACCACATTTCTCAGGATGGGCTTCGATTTCACAATGGCTGCACTGCCGGTGGGTTTTCCCCTTTCAGACTTTCCACAGAATTTCAAGCTTCGTTTCTTTTTTCCCCCTTACTAATATAAATTGACGTCACACTGAAGGATTGTTCACAACACTGAAGCAGCAAAAATACTGTTCCCCTTTCACTTAGCTAGACCTTCTCCTATGCTGCTCTTAAAGGGAAGGTACGGAGGCTTCAAGGCTCGCTCACAGTCAAATGCATCCAGTGTAAAGTGTCTGCAGGATGCAGCAACAGCACCAGTGACTGTTGTGCGATGTTCATGATGATGTGCTTGTTGTGCTAGCTGGTAATTTTTTATACGCTAGTTTTTACATTTTGAGCAGCTCAAAGTTAAATGTTCAATTCTGAAGTTCATGCATGGCCAACATGTTAAAATGCCTGACGGTTTAAGGGTTTTATTCTTCCACTATTGCTACATAGTTAGCTCATAACCTCATAAACGCAGGGTGTGACGTGCCTATTTATCTTCTTTTTACCCAGAACGAAATCTTCATGAGCTCCTGATGTCCCGTGGCCCTCCCTTCACATTCCTGGGAGCAGGTTTCTTTAAATATTACTCACTTATTTGAAAATAAATAAATAACTCTCAACAAGGCGAGCAGGTCTGTCTAGGGATCGCCACCCTGAAAACCACAGGTATGATTTTTAAGAGCACAACTTGCTAAAGATTCTGCGGAGGCGTTAAGCTGCAACACATTTCAAGTCAGAGGGACGTAAAGACAGGAGGTTCGACTGCAGGTGACTCACGTTCTCATGCTTCATGTGTTTAAGCAGCCGCAGCTCTCTGTAGGTTCTCTTTGCGTGGATAATGGACTGGAAAGGTCTGGACAACTTCTTCACCGCTACCTTCAGGCCCGTCTTTACATCATACGATGAACTGCAAACATACAAATATAAGAAATGCTTCGACAAAAACACATTGAAGCAGGTTGCGAACAGCTGTCGAACTAAACCTAAATGGTTTTCTAACAACAAGAGCCTTTGCAGGACTGTGTGGGCGGATTTAACTCGGTAACAGTTGCCTAACACAGAGCCCTTCGTTTCATTTCTTATTACAGCGAGCAGCTTAATTCTGCACAGAGAACAAGACTGAACCAGTTGTTGTATTAGCTACTGAGACCACACCAGTGTTTACTGGAAAAACAACCTGCAGAAAATTTGTAACAAAGTTATGCTCGCAGGAAAAGACCGAACAGAGGATTTTAATTTCACAATAATTACATGTTGAAAAAGCTGAAGCGTTCATATCATCTGAGCTCTGTCTGCAGACCTAAAGTCAAAGACGTCACTCACAGACCACTAAATGTTTGTTATTATCATAATTAATTTAAAAAAAAAAAAAAAAAAAACGACATGGCTACGATATCTAAATACATTTTAATTAAGATGCAGGAACAAACACTGAAATGATGTCTGAACACGTCTCTGGCAATAAAAAGTGACATAAATAGAAAAAGTCAAACAGCAGCAGCTGCTTTTAGCACATTGATTTAATATGCAGCATTAAATCATAAACGCTCTACTGTTGTGTTCAAAATGTTGCTTTGCTTTCAACTTCATTCGTACTTTTTAAAGTGTTCGTCTCGTTTTAATTGCAGTTGAAGTAGTTTGCGTCTGTAATTTTAGAGCAACACGTGAAGCAGAAAAAAAAATAATGGCAACGAATGCATAACTAAAAATAAAGTGTGAAATGCACTCTGGGTACAATAAATGACTTAAGTTTAATCGTAAGCGTAAAAAAAAAAAAATCAATCTTCAAATAACATGAACCAGAACTAGAAATGCACATTTTAACTAAGATTTGTGAGAAATCAGAACAAATCATTTAAATGTTGATGTGTTTTTTTCTTTATTTTGTCCATCTAGAGACATTTTTATTTCCATTTTTAACGTTTATAAACCAGAAATGCATTGCATGTATATTATCTAAAATAAGTGTATTAACATGTATCTGACAGACTGCAGTCCTAACACGTGGAGGGGCAGATGGGCCCGCAGCTCCTGCGTCTGTGAGAACCACCACGTGTTTTGAAGACACATCTTTTTCAGGTCACTTGTTTTTTTTTCGGCCGCTCTCTTCTTCAGGGATCGCCACAGTGAAACAACTCGCACCAAGACTTGGTCATTGTTTTTACACCGGATGCTCTTCATGACACAACCACAGCCTCTGTGTGGAGCTGAGGGCGCCCGGGGGAGCAGATGGTGGGGGTTAAGGCCTTGCTCAAGGGCTCAGAGTGAGGCAAATGAGGGTGGAGGAAGGTGTGCTTCACCTTTCACATTTTTTATGTTGTTGGTCCAGGGGTTCGAACCGACAACCTTCTTATCGCGAGCTCGCCTTCTCTAACCTCTGCGCCACGCCTCTTTCAGATCAATTACTTAATCTGCATAAAAACAAGGATGATTGCAAAATCAATCTGGAAACAAACTGTGCTCGGGTTTATGTTGCCACGTGTTTTTCAAAAACGCTCTCGCCGACATGGACAGACCGCTGACTAAATTCAAAACAAGAGGAACTTTAGAGAAAACAGGAGGCAAAAGCCGCCTGCACAGACTCGAGGCCTGGTCAACTACTAGAAAACAAAAAAAGATTAGGCTCGTTTCCTCCGCAGTGTAAACGGTGTCACTTTTTTAATGCACTGAGGATTAAAAAAAGCAGGTTTTGATGCCAACAATCCAAATGTTAGAGGAAAACTATGACCCTGAGTGCCATGTCTCCACGAGAAGAACATTACGATAACAGCACACTGTTTTTTCCAGTAAGTCCAAGATAATCTTCCACACCCAGAGTTCGAGGCTTGCAGAACAACTTGCGTGCGTGTGTCGCTGGTGAGGAAAAACCCGTAGTCAGCACACAGACAGCAAGATTCCTAAATGACAAAAAAAGAGAGAGAGACGCACACACACACACACCCTGTGTTGCTAATCTGCACGGCAAACAAGAGGAGTCTAAGCATACAACATCCAATTAGTGTGTAATAAATGGAAGTGCAATAAGAAGTGGTTGTAAAGTGTGGGCTGTAAACGGAGCAGCATGGTAAGGCAGGCTTCACAGGGAGGTGGAGCGCCAGGCTGCAGAGTAGCAGGCACGCAGCGCGAGCACACACACACAAACGTGCACATTAATTGATTTGTTGAGATATCGGTAATAAGCGCCTTGTCATATTTCAGGGGATTTCACCACTACAGCAGAAAATCATTCAAGTCTGAGTCATCTGGCAAACCACAGAAAGCTTTATTACGACATTATTAGTACCAGGACACTGAGAAGATGCTTACTTTAATACAACGGCACACTTTTTAAACACCGGTTTGCTCTTCCCTTGCACAGATGTGAGAATTTAAAATGCATCCATGCTTAAAAAAATAAGATTCAGGCAGGGATACAATATTATCACTGAGTCAATTTAAGTTTTAATCTCTTTTATGACAGGAGCTACAGCAAGATAATAAAGAGTGTATATGACCCTGCAGCCTCAAGAGCCAATAACGTGATCTTTGAGAAACGGGATACATTTTAATAAACTGGTTTGTGGATACAGTTATAGTCAAGTCAGATTTGATAAGACTGTTTGAACTGAAGGATGGATAGTGAGGGAGTGAGCAGCGTGTCTCTTTAAGAAAAATAGGAGGGAGGCCCCTTGACGTGGCATGGGCTGTCTCTACGGTTCTCAAACGGCCGACGCTCGGTTTGAGCTCTTTAGCAGAACATTTTTCACACAAAGCTTTTAATAAAAAAACTGTAAACAAGTTCTCCGCTTCTCTTTGCAGAGAAAAACTTCTTGCACGAAGGCACGGGTTTCAACCGTGAATTTTAGAGCTTCGACAAGACGGAGGTTTTTTTTCCATGAGGTCGGCCTGTTAGCTTAGCTCGTAGCTTAGCTTCTCAGCTTAGTAGCAGAAAGAGAGACACGACGTAAAAGATAAAGCCGATAAATGAAAACTAGAAAGTTCCTGGAGAAACTTTGACGGGACCGCCTATTTATAATTAAATTATTATTAATATTAAACATTAATATTAATAATTATAAAAAATATTAATTATTATTATTATTAATATGTTGTTAATTTGTTGGCTATTATTAAAATAGTAATAAATAATAATAAATAATAATACTCACACCAATAATTAGCATTAATATTAAATATTACTTTGTAATATTAATAATTATTAATATTAAAACAGATCATTATTAACATTAATAATTGAAAATTAATATTTATTATTATTATTACTAAATAATAAGAGTAATAGGTAATAATAGGTGTCTTCCTTGCATGTTGAACCAAAATGGCTCCATATGCTACTCAGTTTCTGTGAAGCGTTTTCTCCTATTCATTTCCTATGGGAAATTTGGCATCTTTGTCGCCATGGTAACTGCGAATGCCAATCAAAGTAAGTGCACACTTCCCAAAGCCGGGCCGGTCGTTTTGATATAACTTTTGTGGGGGTCCACGTTGCGGTTCGGGCCGCATTAAAGTTGAAAAAGATACGCTTTTCAGGTGTAGAATAATAAGTGGGCAGTCACCAACTAGTTCCTGGAGTTTGTGAAATATTGCGTCTTTGTTCGCAAATTACGTCCCCATGGTAACTCGAAATGCCAATAAAAGTAATAGCACACATCACGGGGCCGTTTAATTAATATATTGTTTATTGCGACAGGCCTAATCCAAATGCTTCGATCTAAAAAAAAAAAGTAAAAAAGGCGTCACAAATGTGTTTACAGGACTAGAATCTATGTTAACCCACCTTAGTTAGGTGAGAGATTTTTTTTTCATCCTAGTCAGGTTTAAATAACCAAACTTCCAATTATAGAAATCCAAGTTGATCTAGCTAATAACCAAGGACGGGGGTTGTAATCTATTTTTAGTAGATGTCATAATGGAGCACATGGACGACTGGGAATTGATTTTCAAATGTTGCCTCTAAGAGTGGCTGCGTGGTTCTGTTTGTTCGAGCAGAGTTGTCGTATCTGCTGCAGTAAGTTTTTATGTCTTTTCACATTTTCTTTGTTAAACCCATAATACGTCTGTAAGGAAGAGTTATCATAGCAGGACTGTTTTTAGTAATGTTTGTTTACATTTCAGTGACAGTTGTGATGGTACTCGCCTTAGCTTAACATTGAAAATGATATAGAAAAGTTTGCATCTAGGTTATTGTGCGCTCTTTAATAAGAAATATTATAAATCACTGTTTATTTCTGTAGAATAAGCCATAGTTGTTTCAATTTGTCAACTTGTATCTCTACCTCTGTATTTCAGTTTCAGTGTTTTAGATAAAAATCTCAAGTGTGCCTGTTGCCTCCTGGTGACTGTACATAAACCTGACAATTGCAGATAATCAAAATGCATCAATAATCATTGCATAGTCGTATCACAGCCCTCTAAACATAATCAAATTGAATTGTGAGGTGCCTAAAATTCCCGGCCCTGCTGCCATCAAGATGCTGCAAAGGCTAATAAGAGGGAATATGAACGCAGTAATATCATGAGATGCTCTACCGACAACCTGAAGGCAAACAACGTGCTGTAAAAATAATTATGAGATTTAAGATGCCAGTCGTCACCTCATTACTTCTTCCACTTAAAAAAATACAAAATTAAACTAGGAAATATCTACGTGTCGTAGGTTTCAGTTCTAATATCTGCATGCTGACCCGTTTTGTGAGGCTAATCCAGGACTTTAAAGAGTAATGAACGGTTCTGCAACATCACTCCAGAATTCAGTCACAAGCCCAACACGACCAGATGCTGGAGTCAGAAATTACAGCTGGAAAGACGGTGCAGTTTATTCAACAAGAGTCCGGAGGCCAGAGATGGGCCTTTTAAAAGTATCTCTGGTTCCAGCTTCCATAATCTAATAATCCAGAACATAATTTTTTGGTAAACCGTGAGGGTTTGGGTCTGATTGACTTCTCTACCTGACCTGTGAACAGCGGTGAGACTGCAGCGCAGACACACGAAAGCAGCTTAGGTGACATTATTATTTAATGTTCCACTGTGTTGTATTTTTTTACACTTACCTTGGTTTTTATTTGTTTTTTGTTCTACGCCGTACAGTGTCCTCCAGAAAGGCACTTTTTAAATAAAATGTACTATTATTACAGGCATCTAAGCTCACTACATGTATAAAGATGTCTCTTTAAAAAAAAAACAGTAAAACAATTTGACAATTTCAAAACGAATTGCACGAAAAAGCAAGTCGACAGCAACTGGTATTTAATGACGCCAATGGTTCACGCAACATATAAACCCAGTCTGTTAGTGCTCACTGTGCGCGTTGGGGTTCAGTCTCAGCTACTACCACACCAAACTGAATATGCGTTGAATAAAGGTCAGTGGAGTGTGGTAGTCTACAACTGGCTTCAATCTAAAAACTAATCCACTGAGAACGTACGTTCAATTATTACTTTTTGCAAAACCTTTATTAAAATGTGTCTAATGGCTGAGGAAACGTTTTGGTAACAGACACATGCAAAAACATTAATATCCACCTTTGCATTTCAGTGGCGAGCAATAATTATTACCTGTAGCCTTCAAACCCCCTGTTTTTGTGCTTTTTAATATATATATATATTTGGCCTATTTTCAAGATAAATAGCCCTGATGTAGAACATTCAGCACAGATGAGCACACAGTTAAAAACTGATCAAAAGCCTAATGTTTGGCTGCAAATATTTCATAGATGTGCACTGAGCTGTTTGACATTTGTAAAAAAATGTATTTTTATTAAATGCCTGCATGTTCACTCTGCTGAATCCGTAGTATTTAAAATATGCATGCATGCCCCATGCATGCCTTTCTGCACAAACCATGCAAATCTGTGTCTGGTATTTAAGAGAACAGCTCACTGGTTGTCATATTCTTGTATGACTGAAAATAACAAGCAGTATACTGGAGATATATATATATATATATTTAATTGAAAAGGGTGGAGTGGTTGAGCAGCGCTGTGACACCACCAACAAAGACTGTCAGCAGGGCGACCAGCTGACAGATCCGCCAGCTGTGAATGTTAACAGAGAAAGTATGAAGATGGCTTTCATTCTTCTCAGAAACCCTCGGATGAGATTTAAAGGTGCAGCACTGATCCGATCCCTCTGGGTGGAGAATTTATTCAAAGCTGCATGCGTAAAATGGCCTCGGAGGTTTCTTGCTCAGGTTTGGCATGCAAACTGAAATACGAAAAGGGAGCGTCTCCTTCAAATGACAACAACAACAAAAAAAGTTTATTCTTCTGCAAACTCCAGAAAACTGCACGAACAGAAAAGAAAATGGTATTACCGTGGAATTACAAGTAAAACTACAACAAGTGGGCTTCTTATCTGAATGCCTTGGAAGGCTGCGTTACTGTCTTCAAATGTAAATCCGGGCACGTTTTGTGTGCACTGATAAATAAGTGGTGCGCGTGTGGACGCTGGGCGCGCACGAGCAGCACAGAGTTGTGACTGCAGATCTGATGGTGAGGCCACCACCACCGAAGCTCGGGACAGTGAGTCATGTGTGTAAGGCACGACGGGAGAAAAGGGTGACATCATTCTAGAGTCATCATCATCGTCGGATGGGTTCCTGTAGAAAGCTCTCACTGTGCACGGGGGGGCTACTTTCCGAAAGCCACGTGACTCCCCCCCCCACCCCACCCTTTGCTTGTACCCAGCAGGCTGCACCCTGCTGGAAAATGCATAATGTATGCAGTACTCGGATGTGTCAAGTAGCAGGTTGTACATGCAGGAGTACTACAGTATTCTCGCCTCGGGCGGTTAGCCCCCAAGAGGTGGTGGTGGTGGTGGTGGTGGTGGTGGGACCCTTTATATGATGCAAGTACGGGCATGTCAGCCCCTTCAGAACCGATAAACAAGTCCAAAGACATGCAGCAGCACTTTCCTTGTGTTTACAGGAGCAAAGAGGACGAGAGGAGAGAATAATCCCGATCCTCTGAAACAAAAGCTCTTCTGGAAAGTGCTCCAACAACCCGCGAGCGACCATGTACACAAAAGGCACGCGCACTTTGACAACAAGCGGCTCGGACGGGCCTCGGTGTGTCCGCCCGTTGTGCAACCTTCGCCTGCAGACAGCTACTCACCACACGGATCCGTAAGCACCGGAGCCGACGGGAGACAGGTTCTGGTAGCGCTCCGGGACTTCCCACACGGTTTTGTTGAGCTCCTGTCGATAGAACGTGGGTCTCTCGTTGTGCGACATTCCTGCGGCTCCGCCAGCGGAAACTTCTGCCCTCTCCTCCCCGCGTTACACGACGCGCCGAGTGGTGCCGCCGCGCTCCCGTGGAAACTCTAAAAACCGCGCTCGGTCGAGAAAAACTTCAGCCTCCAGTCGTGCAAAAGAGGGGGAAATACGGTGCGAGTTCGCTGCGGGGAAATCCCTCCTCTCCACGCACGCTGGAGCGCACGGACAACCTGGTTAAGCCTCTGAGTCAGGAAGCTCAGGCTGGCTGTCGCTGGATCTTTCGCTCGGGGATTTTTCGCCCCAGCTAGCGTTGGTAGGCGCGCGGAAACGTGAACGCGTACGTCCACCGACGTCACCGCGCGCTCACGGCTGCAACGGTTTTTCTCGCGAGCGCTGTTGAGTAACTCGGGGATATCCCGTTTCTCAAGAGGACTGCAACGTGAATCTCCCTCTGTACGTTTTTAGTCGGGTTCAGTGATGCCAGGTGTACGATGATTATCGTATTTGTACGACAATTTTTCCCTCTGTGCGATCAATAATCCCAAAGAAGGCCAAATATACGATAATTGGACCATTCCGTGAATGTGTGGTTGTAATCGGTTGTCATCAGCCTCTCGCAACTGTTTGTCCGAGTTTTTTTGTGAGCCCTGAAGGCATCTGTGTCTACAAGCAAATGCACGATTGGCTGGAAACTCCAGCCAATCAATGTGACCTACTTGTGACGTGTTTCCGTTTGCCTCAGAACAACGGCCATGATTGGCTGAATAGTCCGCTGCGCCCGCCCCCTGAGTGAGGAAAAGAAAAAAAGAAGAGCTGGTCTGGAAGTGGACTCATCACTACTATAGTGCATATCACTACTCTCCTAACTTAATTAGGAGAGAATATATTCTGAAGGACTTTAGTAAAGAAGACATCAAAAAGATCAGAACTAATTTTATATCATTTCCGGGTCCTCCTAAAGCCAAAGAAATTCTATTTAAAATCTTAAATAGAATTTATCCTACTAAGGAATTTTTAAGGACAAAATTTAAAATGGACACTGGGAACTGTGTTTTTTGTGAGACAGAGAGTGAGAACCTGGAACATCTTTTCTTTGATTGCATGATAGTTCAGCAATTTTGGCTTGATTTTAAAATGTGGATCGAATCCAAAGGGATTCAGCTACTTACTCTCACTTTAAAAGAAATCAAATTTGGGTTAATTAATAAGATTGGAAATAATGAATATGCTATCAATAATTTGATTATATTAGCTAAACATTATGTTAATAAATGTCGCTTTTTCAAATGTAAACCTAATGTGAACCACTGGAAGAATGAGCTAAAGTCCTATGCAAAATCATTAAAATATGTAAAAGGGAAAAATGCTGACAAATTTCTTAGTTTCTTAGTTCATTTCAATTTCCTCATATAATGCTTTTTTTTTTTCTCTTTATCCTTCTTTATTTATTTTATTTCCATTGTGTTATGAATCACCTTTTGTAACTTTCGATTGTAAGATTTGGTACTTTTTGTTGTGTATTGTTATGGTTAAATAAAGTTTTAAAAAAAAAACTACTATAGTGCATTAATAGATTTGTTATTTGGTGATGACGGGTGTATGATAATTTCCCTCAAAATACGATAATTTTATGTCTCTAGTACGATAATCCTACATTTCTCACCTGGCAACACTGGTCAGGTTTGAATTCAAGTTTTACCTGTTCGTCTTTGAAACAATCACACCAGCATAATAAGGCATATGACAAGATGACGTCATGCCTGGGTAATTTAGCAATAAGTTTAGATCGTAACAAATGGCGCAGACGATGCAGAGGTAGTACCTCAAATCAGCGTGAACGCTGAATGACTGCTGAAATATTCTGAAGAGACTGAATTGTAAAAGAAGCAGAATGCTAGGTAAAACAAAAAGGAGCACAACACTCGAACAAGCAAAGGCTAGCTAAAAGTAGCAGAAGTTTAGCTTAAAGTTCCAAAAGGCTAAAAATAGCTAAATGTCACAAAAAGCTAACTGCATGCCAAAAGTATCATAAGGCTATTTAAAAACGCCAGTAACAGAATGGAAACTAGCGTAAGAAGACAGATGGATGGATGCTTTATTAATGGGGGGGAGAGATTTGAGGCGTCCAGTAGCATTTGCTAATTATACAAAAAAAAAAGTATATGAAATAATCAAGAAGAAGCAGAATACACTAATTTGAAAAATATGCATATGCACCTTTTACTACATTCATGAATAATTTATATATATGTATACATTCACTTCTAAGCAAACAAACTCAGCAGCCGGTCGAAACAGACGGTCTCTTGTCCTGATCTTGGTTCTGCTAAAGGTTTCTTCCTCATGAGGGAGTTTTTCCTTCCCACTGTCGCCTTCGTGCTCGCTCAAGACGAGAGTTCTGTGATGGAGTTAAACTCCGAGCAGTCTGCTCCTCAGATAAATAATGTTATGAACTTACTTTTTACGCATGAATGTTTTTGTGCAGTGCCCAGAGACGACTTCTGTTGTGTCTTGGCACTATATAAATAAACTGAATTGAATTTTAAGCAGACACACACAGTGTCCCAGGTGCCACGGAGTCACAAGGCTCTGTTTTTACTGTACGGGAGTTGAACAGCCTGAAGACCTGAGGGATAAAGGACTTCCTGAATCTGTCCGTGGAGCAGGGCTGGGACAGCAGTCTGCTGCTGAAGGAGCTCCTCTGCTTCATGATGGCACCGTGCAGAGGATGGTCAGCACTGTACATGATGGAACCAGCTTTCCTCACCAGTCTGTCAAGTCACCCTGCATCTGTCCTCTTAACGCTGCCTCCCCAACACATACCAGCACAGAGGAGGAGACCGGCTACTACAGACTGGTAGAACATCAGCAATGCTTTCATTAGGCGTCTTGCTCAAACACGTGGAAATGGCTGGGAGTTGAACCGTGACTTAGAACAAAGTTTTTGAAGGAACTGAAGAGCTTTCAGAGAGAAAATATTTGCAAATAAAGTTAAAAAGTATATAAGTTATAAAATACAACGGCTATGGGACTGATCTCCTTTATGAGCTTAACATTTTGATAGGAACAGTTAAAATGAAACAAAATGTGAAGTAGATGGCAAAAAAAAACAGAAAAACTATGTAAATGAGTCAGCATTCACAAATTAAAAAATAAAAAAGTAATTTACTGCCTAAGGCTGAGGAACAGCTTCTACCCTGAGGCTGTGACTCATGAGTCCCTATCAGGATAATCACTGAAAATTACTGTGGAAAAATCACTGTGATGCCACTTGATATGTGCTGCTGATCTCATGCTGCTGATTTATTTCATGTTGCCGTGTTCGTTTGTCCTCATCTGCTCAGACTCATGTTCGTGCTGCTGTTTGGCGCATTGTTTTGTACTATTAGTGCTTAGTATATTCCTAGTTTAGCGTACATTTCTTAGTTCATATCTTGGTATTTTGCTCTAAAATGTGTATTTTTGTTGGATGTAACTGGGACCCCGTGTACATAACGGTAGTTTTGTTCCACCTCATGTACCACATGTGGTGCGAATGACAATAAAGAAACCTTGACCTAAATATTGAACGAGTGTAATGAATGTGAAATAATTTACTGTAATTTACCTACAGTTTAAGTATTTCTTAAATGAATTAGAACAAATTCATATGAACTACCAGTAGTTTATTTAAAATACTTTATCACATGGAAAGCACATTTTTAATACAAAGTGTTGTTTTCCAGCTTTAATAATCTTTACGATACAGGATCAAATTCAAAGCACTGAACGGTAAATAATATTTCCACGTAGAGCTTACCAAGCATAATTGTAAACCAGAAAACAATTTTCCTAAAATAAAACTAAGTGTTTGTGAGAGGTGCATTAGAAGTCCTGGGTTGTAGTTATATTGGTGAAAATAGGTGGAGAACACTGCATGTTCATGTTTAGCTATGATGTCAAAGGTTGTAGTTCATAACTCGGCTACTGCACGTACACAGCTGCTTATTGGAAAACTCCATCATTGGACAGCTTGTGGGAAAATGACATGGGAAGAGAGGATAAACGTTTAGAGGTAAAATGAAAGCAAAAATGTGCCCCGAGGTGTTTCACAGTGGCTAAAATCTTACCTTGTAAAAGCACGAATCTAATATAGCACTATGTTTTGAAACAAATAAAAAAGACTAAAGTATGGGTTCTTTAAGCAACAAGACTAAAATTCATGAAGAAAAAGATTTTAATCGGGTCACCGTTACAAATCTTACAAACCACTAATGTAGTTTGATGTGTTCATGTGAAGACACAAAACGTATAATTCTTTGAACTTGTGTGCATTTTTAATACCTAGTAATTTATTTACTACAAACAATTTTACTTGAGGGGGGGGGGCAATGCTTTACAAGCACTGGAGAATTAATGATAAAGTATTTGTCTTGTGAAAACCAAAGGCAGAATGTATTTAACATTTTACTCCAAATTGAGTTAAAATCATTTTAAGCATTTTATTTTTATTTGACAGTACAAACAAGGTGTTCAGATGTAAAGTCAGAAGAGCAAATTATTCAAATGGATGAACATCACGTCTATTTGGCATCATCCTTCAGGCAAGTCTGTCTGACACTACCAGTTTGATTTGTTACATTTTGTGGCGTTTTACAATTCTAGCACACCTCCAGTACCAAAGGGGTTTATAATCAAGTTTGTTTAACATCAAAAACGTGTTTTTAGATTGTATTTAAATGACAAAATCTATCTATGTACAACCTTTACTTGTGCAAAATGTGTATTTCAAACCAAAAGAAACGTTCAGGAGATGCTAATCTGAAATAAATGATACAAAGTGTAAAAAAAAAACCACAGTGTAGACAAGGACGTCTGTATATATTAGTTTTGTTTATGTTTTCCCCACCACAGTCAGGAAAAGTACAGAGAAAATAGCTGAAACTAAGCAGAACTGATCATTTTTAGTTGATCACATATAACAAATCTCTCCCCCTGCCCCAAAATATATACAACTAAGCCGATTTAAAGTGTACGCATACTTGGATCTTCTGCTTCCTTCAGTAACAGTGATCACTGGTGTGGATGAGGGCAGTGAACAGTATTACCCGACGACAGGGTGACGTGAACCAGCAGGCTCTTCACTGCAGAGAATATTCATGATGGCTGCCCTCAGCGTGTAGCGCACACGTTTCATTCAGGAAAGAGTGACGCACTCATCAGGAGGGGGCAGCACTGGCTCGACTTTCACAAGGATCCACAGCCAGCGGGTTTGTCCGTCACTGAGAAGTATCCCCTCCAGCAAGGATTAACATACGACCACAGGAATGAGTCCATCCCCAACCCGTAGCCATCCAGTCCCTTCCAGTCCAGGCTGACTATCATTTCAAGAAGATAACGTAAAAGGCCATGGCCACACAAGAAATCGCCACAGCAATGTGTAGTCTTGTCCCGATTACTGCAGCTGAGGGTTACAGATAAGATGAGAGAAAAATGCAGGTTAGATACAAAAAGATAAAGCATCAAATGAGAACACGCGTACATAAAGTATGCAGGGCTCTGAATGTGCTTAAAAATCTACAACGGATTCATATGTGGTTGAAAACACAATGTTCTGTGTCGGTTTTGGTTGGAAGGAAAGCTACAGCTGATGGCACTCGCTCGTGTAATAACTAAAGTGAACTTTATGTTTTTAACAGACAGTAAAAACAAAAAGTATGCATTATTTTTAACAGTGTCAAGAATTGTTAACAAGTCAAATTTTCACCTGACTAGTCTAATGAAGCTGCAAACAGGAATAGGTTTCTACAAGTATTTGAAATGTTATGGGTTCATTGATACGGTGGACCACAGACGAATAATAAACAAAAATGTATATTTCAACAATGTGCACATTTCAAAAAAGTTAATACAACTGTGGCTTTTCGATCAATTCTGTTTAGGTAAAAAATAATTTAAAAAAAAACGCTAAACTTCTGCTTATCACACAATACCTCTAATCTTTCACAGTTTGTATTAATGTTTACTAAACCTACTTTGCAGTTGTAAACATCAGCCTTCAAGAGTGCAGCACACAAGCACCCTGTGGTGGGCACGGTCACGCTAATCCACTAACAGCTAGTAGCAGAACAAATTTTTCATTTAGCAGATTAGCATTTTTGTTAACTTTGGAACCCGTTAGCAGACCAGTTAGATTCTGCTAAAATGAGTTTTCGTAACTTAAAAAGTCTCCTATCGCTTTTTGAAGACCTCTCTCTACCACACAAAAAGCATAAAAAAAGAATGCTGACTTGCACAAAGCAATGCTATGCTAAGCAAAGCTAAAGCTAAGCAAAGCTAAAACTAAGCAAAGCGTCACCCGGTGATATCCTTAAATAAGAGAACTATCTTCTGCCCTCAGTGCTTTCCCCCTTAAACATGGTGGGAACAACCTCTGAGTTATGGTGTCAGCCAATAACAAGAGAAACATTATAAACAGTCAGTAACTTTGTACACAATTCCTACAAGGTTACCCAGAATTCTTTGCAACTAACAGTCTCTCTGGGGCACGACTCTCTCACTTATTTCACACCTTTGCTTTGATCTTGGGCATACAAATATTTGTCTTTTAGCGTTATTAATGTTTAATTATAAAAAGTTAAATTAGCAGAAACACGAGTGGAGTTTGCATGTTCTCTCCGTGCATGCGTGGGTTTTCTCCGGGTACTCCTGTTTCCTCCCACAGACCAAAAACATGCATGTTAGGCTGATTGGTAACTCTAAATTATCCCTAAGTGTGAGTGAGAGAGTGAATGGTTGTTTGTCTCATTTGTCTCCATGTGTCCCTGTGATGGACTGGAGACCGGTCCAGGGTGTCCCCTGGCTCTCGTACAGTGATAGCTGGACATGGGCACCAGTGACCTCCACAACCCGAATAAGAAGAAGCAGGTAAAAATAATGGGTGGATGGACGGACAAGTCAAAAGGCTGTGTCCTCCTGCTGCAAAGAAGCTCTCTTTTTCCTCTCCCTTGCTGTCCTATAAACTTTTCTTATAGGCTTGCTTAAAACTTCCAACAAAAAGCACTATTTGGTCTTAAAGACCATAAACAAAATAATTTTGTACCCATCTACAGTCGTCCCTCGCTATATCCCGGTTCACTGTATTGCGGGTATTTGAAACCCGGTTTTTATACTGTGTGTACTGTACATGCTGTGCAGTACATTCATCTCATCCATCACCATCATCAAAATGTTTAAGAGCATATGAAATGTGTATAAGAGAGTGGGAAAGTTATATATATATTAAATAGAACACCGCTACTTCACAGATTTTCACATATTGCAAGGGTCTCTGGAACATAATTCCCACAATAGATGAGGGATCTCTTTATATCAGAAATTTAGCTGAGGTTCAGTCAAAATTTGTTTTGTAAAAATAAAATTATTTACATACTGAACAAAAACTGAAGGGGGTAGGGTAGCAACAAGTAGAGACGTCCATAAAAAATCTTGAGTACTGAATTGGTGTACCAATTAAGGCATTTTTCATTAGTATCAAAGTAACTGACCACTCTCGCTCCAGACCTGACTGCCTGTTGTTTATGTCATCTGCATTGCAATACAATTGTTGTAACATGTCAACTTGTCTGTGATATGGCAGTATTTTATAATAAAAAATAAGAGCAGTTCATTAGTTTCTTGCAATCCAGGTATTTCTTGTGGCAGTAGTAACAGAGCTTTAGTCACTATATTTATTTACAAGTCTGAGACTACACTTTAAAGGAAACTCTAAAGAGATAAGGCAAGTTTCCAGAGAACAACAAGGCAAAAAGGATAACAGAATAAAATTTTAAAAAGCAAGTATCTATTAAAGATATAGATTTTAAATGACTTGGATCAGGACTAGAGACAAAAAATAAACCCTATCAACAAACGAATTTATTTTTCTGCCAATCGGTCCCTAATCTTTATTACTAGAATGCTTATATTATAATGGTACAGCAGAAACGTGTGTGCCAAACCACAAACTCTTTACTCTGTGCAATGAGATAATTCCCAGGTGAGAAAATTCTGCTTTCCGTTTATTTGGTCTATAACATTTAAAATGTTTAATTGCAACAAAACAGGCAGGAGTTTACATTTACCTTTGTAGAAGACACCCCACACTCCTTTCTTCTCAGACAGCAGCCAGCCATTGAGCCGAGGCACCTTTTTGAGGTACGCACAAGTGCAGATAAACAGCAGCCCAAACACCAGGATGCCGTCAAAAGAGTACACTAAAGAAGTAAACAAAGACAAGATCATAATGTGGCCTGAGTGTGACACAGCTGGGTACAGTTTGCACTGTGACACATTAGCCCAATCATGTACAGATGTGGATCAAGTCTGAGCTTATCTGATAGTGGCCATGATGGATCTCAAAAGTAAATATTATTTTTTCATTAACAGTATTGAACATAAGGTGTACAAATAAAGACAGAGGTAATACACTGGTGGTGACTTTAAATACACATGTATGCGCTTTACTTTTGCTTCAAAAACCATAACATCAAAATGATAAGATGGGCTCAATTTCCACAACTTGTCTCCATTTTGGAGTTGATATTTATATTATTGTGTTAAAATACAAACCGAACGGAAGCAGACTGTCTTTTCTTTAACTTGTGTTGTTGACTGCTAGTTCTCAGTGGGATGAAGTAAACTTTTTTTTTTAGGTTAAGATTAAGAAAATCAGCTGACCTGCTTTTAAAACAGTAATAATTTCTAAATTGTACATATCAAATACAGCTGTGATTGACCTAAAAAATAATCCTCCTGGTGAGTATTAGCCTGACAAGACAAGTCAAAGCTAGCTTAAGCAGCCTCTTTTTGTACGACTGAAACACTCACTATTATATTTATATCAAACTCGTCAACATTAGAAATATATCCATAGCTGTTGTTAAACAAATAGCAATTGAAAATTAGTGTTATTTTCCATTGGTTTTGACACACGGAAAAATAAAAGCCCCACCGGGGGCCACGTCTACAGCTCAGTTTAGCCTCCACTAGCTCTCCTCCCCAACTTCCGCCGCTGACTTGTCAAATAAAGCAGCACACGTACCATTTGTCATACTTGCAGGTTGGTCTTTGACGATGTTATCTGACTATTTTCCCCCGATAACTAACAAGTCATAATATACTCTAAAGAAGCGATAAGCTGTAATACATTCTGCTCCGCTCCGCTCTTACAGGTTGACATTTCCGGTTTCTGGTTGTCTTCTTCTTCTACGTTTTAATGTTTGTTGTTGTTGTCCAGCTGACGTTACTGCCACCTACTGGAGAACCGTTTAACAGCTCCGTGATAAAGCTTCAATCCGATTTAAACACTTTAATATTCAAACTTAAACTCACCGAATTCATACACGAGCAAAAAGGTAAATTGCATGGCGTATTTTAGCTGCACGTGGCTTTTATACAATAAATTATAGAAAACGTTAATTTCGGCTTGCAGTATTGTGATGTTACACTTTACAATTACTTTTAGTACTACTTAATTACTGTTAGTTTTGAGTTTATACTACTTGTTCATTCTGTTGAACAGGTCCTTAAACATAAAAATATCATTTGATGAGTGAATAAATAAATGTCTAAACCACTAACAAATTAATATGTTGTTGTTCACATTAAAATGAATAAAATGCAGATGCTAAATTATTTGTAAATCATTCTAATACGTTCCTAACAACCTTGTGTGTGACAAGTCGGACGCTCACACTTGTCATGTGTTGCAGAATGTTGGAGCTATATGACTTTTCTGTCACATAAACAAGCAGCACTGAGCTGCAAAATCAAGACATAATAAATAGATGCAAAAATATTGTGCCTGCTGCAGCTCTGCTTCTGAACACAGCACTGCCAGATGTTGAGAGAAGCATGAGAATTAAAGTGAGCTTCAAACCACTCTTCAAATAGCTGTAAGTGAGCAGTGGAGTTATTTCCACTTTACTCTCGTTGTTGCACAACGTGCTTTTCTGTGTAAAGTTCTGCTGTAAAAGCTTTTATGTAGGGAAAACATTATAATGAAAGTGGAGGTGGGCAGCTGGATACCATGGTCACCTCAAAGGGTCAGCACTTAACTGGGGCTTTCTGTGCGGACGTTGCAGGTTCTCCTTGTGCATGCCTGTGTTTACTCAAGTTTTCTGGTAATTTGAGATTCTAAAATTGGCTCTAGGCATGTGTGTGTGGTTGTTCATCTCCACGACAGCTAGAAAAGAGAAGGGTGGAGCTGAAATCAGTTCGATTCAGAGGATTGTATTCACTTGACTCGGTACTGATGGCTTCCCAGAGTTACGTTCACTCTTTTTGTGCATTAAGAATCCTAAAGCACTGTAGAAACTTGATTTGGTTCAGGTGATCCTCAACTTTTAATAATGTTACACTGGGACAGAATCTGTCTGTTTGTAGACACTAAAATTAGTCTCAAAGCTTTGTGCTGTGCTAATCCCTATTTCATTCTCCTGATCTCAGCATATGCTGCTGCTCAGAGACAACAGAGATTTGTCCCCTGACGGTAACAAAGGTGGAACAAAGGGTCTTGTAAGACAGGTAATGAGATTTGACTCAGGGCGGTGCAGCACACCTGTTCTCATCAGCCTCAGTAGCTGCAGCTCCACGTGCCACAACATCAACTTCATTTGTTCCTGAAGGAAACCGTTGCCTGCAGAACCTCCTGTTAAAGCAACGCGTCTTTACCAGAGCACGCAGGTAAGATTATTCATGAGAAGTTCAGACGAAAAGCAAAGTTAGGGTTGGGAAGTGAGGAAGCACAAGGATGATCTGAAACAATTAATAATGTTAACATTTAAATGATTGAAACCAAGTATTCAAGCTGCAGGCTTTCCCTGTTTTTAAAAAACACACGTTTCAGGTTTCAACATGATTAATCAAGTCTAACAAAAAAAAATAAAAAGTGCAGCATCGTTTAAAAATCTGGTGATCAAGATGTAATCATTTCAGTTTATGTTGAATATTACAAAGAAAATCTTGTTTTGCTGGGAGTTTTAATAGATGAAGGGATATTTAGTGTCCAGTTTTTTTATTCAGGTGTCACAAAAAACGAGCATCAAAAACAAAACAGGTAAGTTAATGAGAAGATAGCCTAGTTCATTGTACTTTGAGGAATTAAACGTTTATTTTGCTCGTGTAAAATGCAATCACGTTTGAGTTTCGGTCATTCTACAGTCGGTTTGTTTTGCTGCGCTGCTGCAGAACTCTCTGACTTGTATCAGTGCGTTTCAGACAGAAGTCACTGCTGGATGGACTCGCCTCGGCAGGTGACTGAAAACCAACAGGAGGAAGATGAGCTCATCAAACCACAAAAGCTGATGAATCCCGTGCAGGCGTCGCTCCAACGCAGAGCTCTTCATCAGGAGCTGCTTTTCTGTCACAGACGGTGAGAAAAAGTTTGCCAACAACCTGCAGCAGCAGATACATGCTGCTCAACAAGCCCCACGTTTCTCACAGGACGCTTCATCCCTGAACTGTTCGCTTACGTTCATTATTTAGCTAGAACCACGTTTTTTATAGTTTCACAGGTTTCTATTGCCAATTTTAAAGCATGACAATTCAAAACTTTCAAGTCTTTTGTGTTTTTAGGGCTTGCATGTTGTAAAGATGGGCTATAAAGCAGTGACAGTCCCCCCACCCTCCTTCAACCAGTGAATCCTCTTAGGCCTCCCCAGTCCAGATCCAGAGCGCCGGCAAAAGATAAACACAATACGTTCAGGTGACCGGGTCAAAAGGTGCAACACCCTCCTAAACGTCCCCGATCTGCTAACAGAAGCCTTAATGTTAACTCCTGGGTGTCATTTAAAACTCTACTCTGGTGCCAGGGGAGATGTTTTGTGGATTTTTTTTTACTTTTGCTGTTTTTGTCTTAATCTGGAGTCACACGGTCCTAAATGTTTCGTGGTGTCCTCAGAGGTGTGCTGCCAGGGAGAAAGCCCGAGTTGCAACGTGTGCTTGAGAACAAAAAGATGGAGCAGCTGAAGAAAAGAGAACTGCAGCCTCCCTCTGACTTGGAGGTGAAACTGCGCAGAAGACAGGAGAATACAACTTGTAGGTATATTTTTAAAAAGGCAGGTGTGTGTGTGTGTGTGTGTGTACACTTTCTGTACGACTGGTTTGAGAGCTACCTTCAAGGGATCGTTCACATCTTTTAAAGGAGGGTTGAGTGGAAAGGGTTATGAACAAACAGTATCTTACCTGTTGTGGATCGTTCTTTCAGAGACCTCATTTTAAGAGATTTGATTCTTATCGCTGCCAGAAGTGCTACAACCAGCTGCTGCTGCTATTTGCAGATAAAAACCATAAAATTATATCTAAATAACTGTGTAATGCAAACGTGACAGCAATATAAAGGTTTACAAAATCATACGTGCGGAGGGAGTGGTGGCGCAGAGGTTACAGGTGAGCCTACGATCGGAAGATCGTCGGCTCAACTCCCGATACCGACAACATCAAAGTGTAGGTGAAGCACCTACACCTGCCTCCACCCTCATTTGCCCCACTCGGGGCCCTTGAGCAAGGCCCCCACCATCTGCTCCTCTGGGCGTCCTAGGTGTCAGCTCTCTGCTCCACACAGAGGGCTGTGGCAGCTCGGTGGTCTGTGGTTGCACCAGGAAGGACATCCGGTGTAGAAATAATTGCCAAGTTTTCGTGCGACTTAGTTCGCTGTGGCGACCCCTGAAGAAGAGCATCCGAAAGAAGAAAAAAAATAGTATCTGCAGAAACTGCTGTTATTGTTTTAAAGTGGAGTTGTTTAAAGGCAGAAGCAGCATACCTCGTTCACGTCTCTGAACTGACGATGTTCCAAGAGCCATCTACGACAGGTAAGATATTTATTGTGCAGAAGTCAACAGTTTAAGTGTTGGGCGTTCTCAGTTCTTCTGGATCCGTTTGGGAGATTAGCGAGGCTGTCACTAATTATGAACTAACGTTGAATTTTGTAACTACGAGCTGGAGGAGGAGAAGCGGAGGGAAAGTCTGAAGAATCTGCCGGAGTTTGTTCGGGTGAGACGAACCCTGAAGCACATCCCAGCGTTTTCCAAATAACTCCCAGAGCCAAGAAGCAAACGAACAATGGAAACCAGAGTGTTTGTTAAGAAGAGCGTCACTACTGGAAACTGCAGTTTTATAATTACATGCATTTGTCTGAGGTCTGCTTTGGTTAAAGACATGAAAGGTGGTGGAAAAAACAAACTATGAAACCTTTCATCAAAATGAGAATGCAAATACAAAAGAAGCACTTAACAGAAGCTTACAGTTCACAAAAGCACATTTAATGATTTTATGTTTGAAGACGGTCACAGAAACTTTGCACTGAATTAAAATCTGTGAACGACACCGAGGAAGGAGGTACGTCAATATTTACAAAAATGTTTCCGAAGCCACAAAAATGAGCTGGAAAGTTGTTTTTAATCACTTCTATTGATGATCTGGGGCTGAAATATGTTAAAGTCTTTAATCAAAGTAACGGGTGTTTGGGACACAAATACTGACGGAACAGAGAGTTCAGGTTCAAGTCTCACACCAGAGAGGACAAACGGTCAACGATAAAACGCTGCAGGAATTTAAACGTTTCATACTCGAATAAAAGAGCAACAAAGTGCCGAGTGTGCTGCAAACATTCACATGGAACTCAGTGTTTCTGCTGATTCTGTCAACTCCAAGAACTAAATAAACTCAGCCTCTAAACAAACTTGTGTATGAATATAAGAACACGACGTGTCCGTTATTCCTGTAAATTATGTTTCAAAATACAAACATTCACTGCACTTCTGTCCTGACGTGTTCGCAGAATAAGTTATTGATCAATAAATAGAACGGATATTCACTTTACAACAAGAATAAAGTAAATACAAAAAGGTAGACACGATGGCATGTGAGGAGTCCACATCTGGATTTTTTTTTTCACCATCTACAACAAAGAAGCAACATCTAAACGTTTTAGTGTTCGGAAACAGCAGATGAAGCTCAAATAGACAAAAGTTACAAACTGGAGAGAACGTCTAAAAGACAAACATGGATTAACATTAAATTAGTAACTCGTTAACGAACCATCTCTTTGTTTTAACAACTTTGAACACGTGAAACCTCCGTTTTAATGAAAATGGCTATAGTGTTTTCCTTCAACCCCTAATTACGAACACGGAGAAGCGTTTCATCACAATAACGATCAAAATGAAAAGATATGGGACTTGTTTTTCCTGAGTTGCAGTTTAGATTTACTGTTTTCAGGCACGTTAGTACGAAGTATTTCTTAAAAAAAAAACTTTTTTACGTTAATCAATGCTTTCTTGATGCTATTATGAAATATTTTCACCTTATTATATGTATATCCCACAAAAGTATTATGAACATTTTAAGGTGATCACAATTTGAACGTTATTTTGTGTTGTGAGAATGTGCTGGGAGAACATCAAACTAGAAATGTCTTAATTTTTTGCAGGTAAGGTAGAAATCAGTGTCCACGTCTTAGATTTAGGAGAAATGCTTTTCCAAAGAAATACAATAAATAATAATAAATAAAAGTACCAAAAAAAATGTTTAGCTAACTTTTCTTCATCTGGCTTACAATCAGTACCATGACTTAAATTAATATTAGGGATCTGAAGAGGTTATGTCTGGGGCGGCTGTGGCTCAGTGGTTAGAGCAGTCGTCCTCCGATGGGAGAGTTGGGGGTTTGATTCCGCCATTAGTCACATGATGAAGTGTGAGCAAACTGGGCAACCTCCTCATCGCCTCTGATGCGTGTCCCATCGGTGTATGAATGTGATCTGAAGCACCGCTTAGCCTCTTTACAACGATTTGTTCAATTAGCTTTGTACAGATGTAGCGGAGCGCTGTACGAATGTTTGTGTGGAGGTAAATGAGGCACAGATTGTAGCCTAAAGCGCTTCGAGTACCTTGATTAGACAGAAATGTGCTACATAAGTACAGTCCATTTACACAGCTTTAAATAGTCTAACAGATGCAGATTTGTTGGGGGAAAGGTTAAAAAAAAGTTGCTTTTGCAATTTTGGTCACTACAAACCCATAATTTTGTTGGTACAAAACAAAGCAATCTGCCTCCGACACTTTGTACTTGCTTTGGCCTTATTTTAAATTTTAAAAAATGATTCTGAAGAAGAATAACAGGGCCGCGCTAATTAGCAGCAGCTTCGTGCACTACGTCCATCTTTCAGACGACTGTGCGTACATGTTGTCGTTGTGTCCCGGTGCGATGACAATAAAGCTTATTCTGATTCTTAAACCCACCTAAGCAGTCATGTTGATGATTAAATCTAATGTAGTATTACTTTTAGTGCCGTCTTTAAGGATAGGCTGATATTTACCAAATCCGTAGGTGTCCCCTAGTTCCTAATCTGAACTGGTGACGCCTAGGCTTGACATCCAAACCTAACATGAACCTCTGAGCTTTGGCTCTAAGCTTAACCTTCACTTAATCCACAAAACATACAAGACTACGCAGTAAGCACACAAGTACGAAATGGTTCGACAAGCGCCAGGTGAAGGTACAAGGTGGCAAAGTATAAACCAGGATGAGGAAAAAATACTGCATCGACTTGAACAGCAGCGTATCGAACACTCAAAATTAACCTTTGTGGAAAGACAGCGGCTAAGGAATCCCATCTTTTCTTTGGCAGCACTGCGATGGTGGTACGCTCCAGTCATAGATGTAAGACAATCGCAGCTTGACCTCCTCCTTGCAGAGCCTGCCGTCCCGCTGCAGAGTCTGATGTTTCTCCAACATGTCCTCCAAGCTCTGCTTGTGCGTCACCAAGTATTTGTTGTTGCAGCCGCGCGATTTATACTCCGTGTCAAAGCGTGGATCGTGTGTCCGCCGAACGTCCACCGGTGCCAGCCAGGCACCCAGGGACACGTCCTCGCTCTGCCACGTCTTCAAGTAGCCCGCGTTGAGATGCACGTAACGTACCAGGTCAGCTGAGAGCACGTAGCCGCCGCCCAGCGCGTACGGTAGGTAGTAGTCACAGAGCTCCCAGGAGCTTTCTCGCCACTTGCCAGCTGTTTTTACGCGGCCTCTACCTGAGAAGAAGCCCCAGTACAACCTGCTGGGTTCCTTCCCCTTCAGCTCCTCTTTGAGGAGGTCCAAGCGCACAAACGTGTCATCGTCTGCTTTGAAGACAAACTTGAAGTCCACATTCTGGTCCAACCAGGAGTACATGTGCAGCAGCTTCAGTGTCAAGTTCTCATAAGAATCACGTAAATCAGGCAGCAGCAGCAAGTCCTTGTGTCGCCCTTGCTCCGTGTTCAAATTCTGAAGGTCCTCGCTCGATAACCCTTGAGTTCCAACCACAAACATGGCCAAAACATCAGAATCCCGCTTGGCAAGCCAGGTGCTGCGGATGATGCTCCTGCGCTCCGTGTACTTGGGTCCCGTTGTGATGAGAACCACAAGGAAAGCGGACAAATCTTTGGACGCAGGCGCAGGATTGTGCTGGTTTGGATGAAAGTGCAAACCCTTGGTGTGGGGGGCTAAGCCCGGAGGATCCGGATGACCCTGCTTCAGGGTTTCTGACGTACATTTGGCCAAGAAAACAAGGACTGCAGCAAAACTGGACACCGTCCCAATGACGAGAGCCGTCTTATGGCGACACACCAAGCGGATCAGATTCATGGTGCCGAGTCTGGAAAGAAGCACAAAGATTTCCATTAATACCCAAATTCTCTGTTTTATTAGCTACAGAATTAGACATTAAAACCTCAGGCACGAATTAAATACAGAAAATGATGACAAATCAATTTTAAGTTCACGTTTTCATGAGGGTACAAGCTGCAGATTTGCTTCACCAACGATTTAACAGATGCAGCATGTATTAGCTAGTCTGCCTTGAAAAACCAGGTAAGTTGGCAAAATGAACCTGAGCTGTTCCTGCACCAGCTGAGCCACAAACCGTCCACAACAATGCTGGGAGCAGGTGCGACTCAAAGAGGATTGGTAGTTTACCTTCTTGAGCTTATTAAAAGCAGCCCGTCTCTCTCGGGGCAGCAGCTAGCGTTAGCTACCGACACGAAACCAGCTGCGCACTTTGTAAACACTGTCCGATGAGCGCGAACATCCGCAGCGGGACCATGGTGTCTGATCCCGAGGGGAAGCCGGTGTCGTGGTCCGGGTGGGTTACAGTGAGCTGGTCGAACGGTTCGGCGAGTTATCCGGTGCCAGAGGGTTCTTTTTCTGCCTTGTAGTGTAAACGCGATCTGTTCTGGTTGGCTGTGCGTGGCTAACAGGAACCGGAAGTGAAGCCCCCCGTAAAAAAATTAAAAATTAAAACGCGACTCAATCTAGAAAACGCTGCAAAAATTGATGAACAGATAAAACTAAATTCGAGCTTTTTTTTAAAATAAGAACTTACTTTTGAAATTAAATGTCAGGAATAAATATATATAAGTATATTAAAGTTTCTTAAAGCACATCGGTTTTGTATAAAATTTAGAACTGAAAAATGGCAGGCGCCGAACGAAACAAGAGCAATCGTGGTGGAGCATGCGCATTACGCTTCACCAAGTATGCTGCATTCAAGGTACCTCGGAAATTAAAAAGCATCTTTAGTCAAGTCACATTTACTTACAAGGATATAAATATAATTTGCTCTTTTTGTGATGAAAACCCAGAAGATGTATTTCATTTATTATGGTCTTGCCCCTTCTCAACTCAATTTTGGAAAAGTATTTGTATTTTGATTTATACTTTTATAGAACCAGACCTCTCACTTTGCTTTGAACATGTTTTGTTTGGCTTCACTGACTGCCCAACAGCTAAAGAAAAACAGTTGTATATTATTAATCTCATTATATACCTGGCCAAATGGCATATTCATAAACGTCGATACACTAATCAAAAACCTCTTATCTCCATTTTTGAAAAGGAGGTCAAACAATACATCAAAACTATTAAATACTCCACCAACACGAAGGCCATATTTATGTAATATGTTATTGTAAATTATTGTCTCAGTGTTTGTAACCCCCTGGCGTCTGTTATATCATTACTGTATACTGCATTTTATTGTATTGTTTTGTACTTTTTCAATAAAGATTTTTTTTAAAAAAAGTCACATTTACTTATAGCACATTTAAAACAGTAACTGTTATCAAAGTGCTTAACAAAAAAGATCACAGCATCAAATATTAATAACAAGATATTACAGCATCGGGGCTAAAAACATAAAAACACGAAATATAATTAGAAACAATGAAATACTAAATCAAATCACCCTGCGTTAAAAGTCAGGAACGAAGTTACTGTACTTACAAATATTTTTTAAATCAACAGCAGAGCTTGAAAAACTAAAATGAACTAATCAACTGGATTAAAGAAGTAGTTTGTTTATTTAAAACAACGATTAACCAAATTAGCCATTTAGGAAATGACGGTGACTTCTTTGCAGCGTTTTGTCATCATGATGTCAAAAAGCATTTCGGAGCACTTCCAACAGCAAGCATGTCAACGTGCATAGATTTTCGTCTTGTGATCAATTTGACATTGTTATTTTATAATGATTTTAAAATCTATTTTACGTTTCTATTTTTAAAAGCGTTCAGAAACATTTTATTGTGAAAGTCCCAACCGGAAGTGTAACTTTGTCGCAGGCTGATGCTGTCATCAGGCTGACCGGTCGCTAATGTCTGTCAACTGTAAAGAAAATCATGGCCTCTGCGTAGTAACATTAGTCGCTTGGAGTCTGTAATGTAACTTGACGCTCAACAAGATACCAGACCCGAACATGTGAGCGCATTACTTAATAATTGTGTCCGTTTTAGAACAGCTAACTGGCGTAACTACAACCGGAACAGCAGAAGAAGAAGATGACGGGTTGGAGCGCCGGTCCGTTTCTGCTCGCTGTCCTGCTAATTTTGACTGTATGTGTGGTGAAACCAACATCTGAGTTTGACCCATATCAAGTTCTGGGTGTGAGCAGGAGTGCCAGTCAAGCAGAAATCAAACGGGCGTACAAGAACTTGGCCAGAGAATGGTGAGGGACAGGAGTGGAACCATTTCATCTTCTTGTCTGTGAAGAATCAGCCATTTTTTTTATTTTACACTTGTGCTAATCATCTCCTAACTCTCTACAGGCTGTCCTGCTATCTTGTAATGTTTAACAGAAGAGATTATTTTAAGCATGCATAAACTCTATGGTGTAATCTGGATTTTTTTAGGCACCCAGATAAGAGCAAAGACCCCAAAGCTGAAGATATGTTTATTAAGATTTCTAAATCATATGAGGTGGGTGAAAAATAGTCAATTACATATAATGTACACAATAGTTTCTTTGTTTTACTGTTGGTCTGTTTCACTTTCTGTACTGCAGCTTTCTGAACGGAGCAAGGATTCTTCTAATGTCATGTTTTGCCTTTTCTCAGATTTTATCTAACGAGGAGCGAAGGTCCAACTTCGATCGTTTTGGGCAAATGGATGAAAACCAGCCGTTCAGCCAGTCGCAGCGTCACGGTTTCCGCAACTTTCACAGCAGTTTCTACTTCGATGAGTCGTTTTTTCATTTCCCCAGGTATCGTGTGCTTGAACTGGCCCATTTTTCTGATTCTTTATCAAAGAAAAACGTTTCTTTATATATAAAAAAAAAAAGAAATCCTGCACCCAGCCAGACAGGTGTGCTCTAATTTAGGCTGCAACAATTATACAAATCAATATACTCAAATCGTGTAAAAAAAGTTAGCTTTTTCGACACATTTAAACAAGTGAGCTCTAGATATTAATGTTTCTAATTAGCATTCTTTCCATTGTGGTCTTAGAAAAGCATAGTTTGTGAGATTTAAGAGTTGCAGACAGATGTGTATTAAAACATGTCCTATTTTGTTTTCAACACTGTTTTCTAGGTCCAGGGATTTTGCTGACAGCAAGTACATGCTTCACCACGCGCAGTATAACAGTGACGTTCTGCCAGACAGCTATAGGAGGCCGTACCTAATCAAAGTGACTTCTGAGTGGTGCTTTGCATGTATGCACATTGAGCCTGTGTGGAAGCAGACTGTGCAGGAGCTGGAACCTCTGGGTAAGACTTTGGAGTCCACTAACAAAGTATAAAGTCAAGAGAGTCATCCAAAAGTGCATATAACACCCTGAAGAATGTAACATGTGCTTTATAAGGTTCTTAAAGCTGGTATGTTTCCATATAGCTGGATATCACATCTAGTAGGCATTTGTAAGACTTTACAGATCTAAAGGAAAAGTCCCTGGATTTTTAGCCTTGTTCTGTTTTTCATTTTATGTAGGTGTAAACAGTTTGACACTCATATCCTAGGAGTTAGAACCACAGTGATCATGATTTGCCTTTTTAAAATGAACATTTTAAGTAGGCCTGTCACAATAAACAAGTCAATTAATCGCATGATGAATGAAAATGATCATCCTCATTTTCATTTATTGTCTTTATCGTTTCTTCATGTTTGTTTCTACTGAAGACACTGGACGACAAAAGGCTCAACTCCGGTGCTCTTCACTGACCCGCTCCCTTCCTCTTTTCTCTTTAAAATCTGTTTTAACCGTCCAAAATCACGTTTGAGGATCGTTAAACGCAGCTAAGCTGAGAAGCTAAGCTACGAGCGAAGCTAACAGGCCAACCTCGAGAAAACGCCTCCGTCTTGTCGAAGCTCCAAAATTCACGGTTGAAAGCCGTTCCTTCATCTAAAAAGTTGTTTTTCTCTGCAAAAAGATTAGAATTTGTTTACTGATTTTTTTTTATTAAAAGCTTTGTGTGATAAATGCTATGCTAAAGAGCTCAAACCACACTGAGCGTCTGCCATTTTGAGAACCGAAAACGGGAACGAGAGACAGCCCATGTCACGTCAAGGGGCCTCCCTCCCATTTTTCTTAAAGAGACAGGCTGCTCACTTCCTCACTATCCATCCTTCTTTTCAAACTGTCTTATATTGCCATCCAGTGGTCAAAAAGGTAATACACACAAAAATTAACCAACAATTCTTCTTAAATTTGACAATAATTACTAATTATTGTCAAATTTCAAACAATATTATCGTTTATCGCTATCATTTCTGAGACAATTAATCGCCCAGCAAAATTTGTTATCGTGACAGGCCTACTTTTAAGTCTTATCCACATTTCTAAGTTCATACGAGACTTATTTAAATCCAGCCTTATGCCACCAGTTTTTTCTTTCAAACAGTGGCATGAAACTAACAAATTGTCTTGACAAATTGTAGGCTAGAGACAATTTCAGAATTTCAGCAATAGAACAATTTGTTTATTTTTTCTTCTATGCTTTTACTCCTTTCTATCAATAATTGATATGATCACATCAGGCGTGGGTATTGGCATTGTGGACTTGGGTTATGAGCGCCGCCTAGCCAATCAGCTGGGAGCTTATCGGGCTCCCTCCATCATCGGGCTGGTGAACGGCAGGATGACCTTCTTCCACCAGGCTGTGGTACGAGAACACCTGCGACAGTTTGTGGAAGATCTGCTGCCTCAGAACCTGGTGCAGAGGGTAAACGCAACACACACACACACACACACACACACACACACACACACACTACATATGGGAAGACACTTAACACTTGATTGCACCCCAGACGTGTTTCTGTGGAGCTGAAAAGGATAGAAATGCCTTATTTTGTTGGATAATTAAAAGTTTAACTGTAGTCAGTGAAAGCTAAAACCATGAAGTGTTTATGGTGTTTTCAGGCAGCTGAAGTGTATTTTAACTGCTGTATCTTTTATTTCCAGATTAACGATAATAACTGTCGGACTTTTCTTGATGACTGGCATGCAGAAAACAAGCCCAGTGTTCTCTTGTTTGATCAAGTCCCTGTTGTGCCTCTGCTCTACAAGGTGAGTTTTCCTGCCTGTTGAGCTTCTTTCGGTCACAGTTGTACCGGCGGTTTTCAATTAGCTCATGTCCTGTTAAAGCCCAGTTCCTATGATGCTCCTGCAGTGTCGGGGTTTTGCCCCGTGCTGTAAGAAATATGAACTTTGGTTGTGATATTTGTGTTCATGCTTCATGTGGGCAGTGCCAAAAACCCTGAAGTGTTCGTAAAAAGATTTACACACTTATGTGAACTTGTGTAATCAGTTTTCCCTTTACTCTGTCATGAAAGTAAAGGCGTCTGTCGTTAGCTCTTCTTTAATTTTTTGGTATCTATCTTATCCTCTCCTTCAGCTGACAGCTTTTGCCTTTAGAGACTATGTCCGCTTTGGTCATGTGGATCAGGGTGACGCACACAGCACTAAGCTCCTGCAGCAGTTCAACGTTAACACCTACGCTCCCACCATGCTGCTGTTTAAGGAGGACACAGAGAAGCCGGTTGACATCATCCAGGTACACCCCTATTAACCTGCAGCTGAGTTCTACTCTATTATAACATGAATAAAATCTGATGTTCTAACAGACAAGTTTATTCCTTTTAATTTCAGGCCAGAGGAATGAAGAGGCAGCTCATGGACGAGTTTGTCTCCAACAACAAGTTCCTGCAGGTGCCTCGGCTGGTCAGCCAGCAGCTTTTTGACGAGCTGTGTCCTGTTAAACAGTTCCACAGACGAAGGAAGTAAGATATTTTTGCAATCAAAGTCATAATTACTTTTAATTTGTGTAGCAAGAATTGATCTGAGGAGTTGTTTTTCCATCTTGTTAATGTTTGCTAAACTGTCAGAAAAGAGAAGGAGAGCTAAAAATAGGAGCCGAGTTTTGACAACTTGTAGCGTGGCAGCTATGAAGGGAGTCGTTGTTGTAAATTGACATTAGATGCGATTAATTTTCAGGTACTGCGTCCTGCTCATTACTGGAGAGGATGAAGCTTTTCATCCTGGTAATAAGGCTTTCCTGGACTTTGCCTCTGCTAACAAAAAAGACGTGCTACGGTTTGCGTATGTCTACCAGCATCAGCAGCAGCCTCTTTGTCAGGCGCTTCTGCACAACCATGCTCCCATTTCACCTCAGGTCAGGGCTCTGAGAGCACACACACACACACACACACACGTTTGTGCCTGTAAACAAACCTCAAGGACAAGCTGAACTTTGATTTTACCGCTCCTGTTTTTCCCACAGTCCACCAAACAGGAAGCAGTATCAGATTTATTGTTTCAGATTGCGAACGTGCGCCGTCTAAGGTTGTGCGGCGCCTCAGCTGACAGTAGAAATGCTGTGTAATGCCTCTGACAGGTGGTGATTCTGGAGAGACGGAGCCAGGCTGGACGGGTCCTGTACCGCTCGGTGAGCGGCGGCTGGAACGGCAGCGAGGAAGACGAATCCCGCCTCCACGAACAGCTGGAGCTCCTTCAGAAGGACCCCACCTACCTGACCTCGGACACCACCTTACCGGAGCTCAACAACGAGATGGCCCCCGTAAGACACACCGACCTGTTCTGTCGAGGCTCGTCTTTTAGTCTCTCTCTCTTTTTACATTTGGTCTGATTTTATTGTTGTTGTTGTTTTTTCCTGTGTTCAGATTTTTATCATTCAGTGGATGAATGCAGCTTATGATTACGTCCTTCAAATGTATGATGGCCTCCTCTACTCCAACTGGTAAGATGATACTCACCCAGGAAGTCTGCAGAAAGGAAAGACAGAAATGTAACAGAGTTTTTGCTGATATTTGTGTGAAATCAAACCACAAGATGAATTACAGTACTTTACCACATAAAGATTAATGTTTACAGTGGTCCCTCGTTTATTGCAGGGGTTCGAGTCCGAACCCGCCCGCAGTAAGTGAAACTCTGCCAAGTAGCGACCTCATATTTATTTTAGTATTTATATATATTTTAAGGCTTTAGAAACCCTTCCCACACTCTTGCAATGTTCTAAACTCTTAAACCTACATCATTTGAGCAACAAACGTACAGTACTGTTTATGTAGCTGCTAAATTTTACTTACCAGATTCTGCAAAACACAGCAACAGCTCTTGGTTCTGGTCCAACTCTATTCTGGTCTGACCCAGACTGCAGCGATGAAGTTCACAATCAATGTTCTAAACTCTTAAACCTACTATTTTAACAACATACATAACTACTAAAGTTTACTTACTTGCTCTCGGGTTCACCGCTGAGTCTGGAGGTCTGGTTCTGGTCCAGTTCATTGCAGCTCTTTAGCTTTGTGTCTGTGTGTGTGGGGTGGGGGTGGGGGGGGACATTCTGTTGGCTGGCGTGGGACCATAGGTGGTTGAACTGAGTCCATGTCTGGATGAAAAAAGTCCCGATGGGCTGTGGAAACGGCTCCGGAGCTTTCAGCGTGCGTCCACGCTCGTAAGTCCTCGTGGGCCAGGTACCAGCTCTCAAGATTCACTGATGGGTCTGGAGGTCTAGAGGTCTGGTTCTGCTCCGGTTCTGCTCCGGTTCGGTGGGTTCAGTGCAGCTTCTCTACATCTGCTGGGCACCAATCAGATCAAAACTTTACCTCTTGTTTTTGTCAGCAGAGGAAACAGGGCTTTTCGAGGCCCCGTTGCCTTCTGGGAAATGTGGTCATTATGAGCAGGAATATAGTGGAGGCTTACTGAGAGAAAACTACAAAATGGCGGCACCTGTCCGAAGTATTTTTTTCTTAACTTTTTACTGTACAGTACTGTCCCAATCACGTGAGTACTAGTTGACAATCGTGTCCTTTAGAATTGTTTTGTAATACAATATTATGGACTGTACGTCCACAAACAGCGATAGAGCAAGTCTGCGAAAGACGAACCGCGAAGTATCGAGGGACTACTGTATTTGGTTATTGGTAATTAGTATGTCGTGTCATAACTGTGATGTACCTCTTTATAAGTATTACAACTTCTGAAGGCTAAAGTTGCAGCACAGAGGCTCCTTTTGGTTTCAGTGACTGCGTTTTGTTTGTCTTCAAGGCAAGAGATGATGCCCATTCTGTCCTTGATCTTCTCGGCTCTCTTTATTCTTTTTGGCACTGTAATCATTCAGGCTTTCAGGTAAGAACATATGAATTATTATATCTGGATGTTTTTCTTGGAACTAATTAAAAGGTTGCTTTTCTTTGTAGTTGATCTGTAAATGAGAAGTGTACCTGCTCTTGATGATTTATTTGATTATTCTCAAAGCTTTCGCTGACGACTCGCTTGTTTGACGTATATTTTTTCAGCGAGTCTGGTGAGAGCGCACCTCGCAAACCAAAAGAGCAGCCCGCGAGGCAAACTGAGGAGGACGCATCAAGCAGACCGAGTACCTCAAGGTAATCTTGTAGTAACACGAATTCCTTTGTCGAGTTATCTGTCCCATTTGGAAATGTTCCGTTAGAACTAAACCAGAAGCAGAATATTTGGTGACATCTGGATGTTAAATTCAGTGTAATGCATTTTATTCTAATATCTAAATGGCAGGTGGTGGTGGGTGTTTGTCACCAAGTGATATTTATGTTTATGTATTCAGTTTCTTGGACTAAAATATTAAACTCAGAAATGTCTATCGTTAATTTGTGAGGAAAAAAAACAACACGACTGAAATACATCGAACTTTCCTGTACTTCTAGCTCATTCACAGTCCTTCGTTGTTGGATTTTGAGTTTTATTTCACAGCTCTGTGTCAGTTTCTCTACAGATTTTGTTATTGATCATGTATCAGTTGCTCCACAGACTGTTTTGCCAACCTTTAGATTAAATTACTGCCTTCAGGACATCATTGCTTCTGATCCGCTCTCAAATGATAAAATCTGGGCTTTTGTTAGCGTTCATAATGTTCTGCTTTATGTGTTCTCTGGCACAAGTTGGGTTTCTGCAACCAGATCTTTGCAGAAAGACTTGTCTTCACCTCAGCCATACTGGATGTTTGGCCCCATCTTGTGGCAACTGCTTTTGTTTGTTTGTTTGTACTACACAACTGCATATAAACTTAAATATTGCATATAAATATACTCAATTTAACTGAACAGAGTCCTGTGTCCAGACCCCTCCTGACTGTATAAAATGTACTTTAAAACTTTTTGTTCAAGACTTAGTTTAAACTATCTGTTTGAATTTGTTTCCAAGGTTCTTTGTCATTCTCATCACATGTTGTACATGAGGTGGAGCAAAATTATGTACTCAACGTCCCAGTTGCACCCCAAAATAGCAAAAACATAAAGTATAAAAAGAAACAATATACAAGGATCTAAGATATACGCTAAACAATGATAGTGTAAAAAATACGATGTATTAAACAGCAGCCTGAAGCAGATGGGTATGAATACAGCAGCTTTTTCATCAGAGATGTTGTGCAGACAACATGCTCTAAGCTCAGAAATTAAATCAACTTTTTTGGCTCCTTTAAACGTTGTCTCTTTCTGTATTTGTCTTTGGTCCGTGCAGCCGTCCTCCAAAGAAGGACTTTGTGGAAGTGACAGAGTTAACAGACATCACGTACGTCAGTAACCTGGTAAAACTAAGACCAGGTCACATTAATGTTGTTCTGGTGCTCACCAATGTCTCCAAAAATGCTCTGCTGAGGAAATATGCCAAAGAGGTTTTCTCCTTCTCTGGGTAAGTCACTTAAAGGGCCAGATATTTATTTGAACTAATAAACCCCAACAAGTGTTTCCACTTTTTAATTCTAATCCCCACGTCTGTCGACCCTCAGCACCCAGACCCTTCACTTCTCCTTCCTCAACGCTGACAAGCACCGCCACTGGATGCCTTCGCTCCTTCACTCGGCCTATCTTGGAGAAAGTGGCAGCCGTTCAGAGGACGAGGAGTCCTCAGATTACGCCGGCCACGTCCTGGCTCTCAACGGCCACAAGAAATACTTTTGCCTTTTTAGACCAGTTTTCACGGGAGACGATCCCAGCGATTCGTCATCCGAGACCTCAGTTTCTTCCGAGAGCAAGAGAAAGTCCCGCTCCAGGTCCAGGACGAGCTCCCACTCCCGATCCCGGTCCCATTCCAGGGAGGACGGGGCCGTACCCAGAAGGGGCTCGAGTAGAGCTACTAGCATAGAAGTCCACCACAAGCTGGACAGGCTGGGTCTGTGGATGGAGAGGCTGATGGAGGGGACGCTGCCCAGGTTACACGTCCCTGCATGGCCCACGCTCAGCCAGGACTCCACAGAGAGCTGAGGTCCAAGTAAGAACTGTTGTGGTTTTGCCTCCCTGCTGGGTACTTTTCAAAGAAAGCTGCAGAGCCAAGTTGTTCTTTTTAGATTACCGTTTAAGTTCTGTACACGTTGTCTGGCACTGCACTGTTGGCGCTGACGGTGGAAGCCCCACCTTCCAGAGGAGCGTCACAAATGATCTTGTTGCTGTTTCACATCCACAGACAGCTGGTGTGGGTCGCAGCGCAGGCGATGGCTGTCGTCAACACCTGGTGGGTCGTAGAGGAACACCAGTGGATAGAGCAGCAAAACACTCTGCAGCTTTTGGACTTCAACAGTTTACACACACAACTGTCAAAATGTGCAGACGCATTCCTGTGTCCCCTGCATACTGATGTTTTCTAAGTCCATAAGGAACTCACATGCACATTCACAAGCGTCATTCTGTTTCTTTAGCTGTGCCAGAATGTTGACACCACATCTGTACAGGCGCGAGCAGAGTTATCATCAGAGAAGACATTTGAGTGTGATTATTATGTGGACTCAATTCAGTAAACAAACAAACAAGAAAAAAGAATAAGGAGAAAAATAGCAGTTTTGTAATAATTAAAAATAATAGCCATATTGTAAAAGAGATTCAAAAAAAGGAAAGTTCTTTGAAAAAATAGCATTCTTTGACGGGATGCATCTTGTCTGCTGCCTTTCATGCCGTAGCTTTCTAGATGACGTTGTTGTGAGATTTTGCAAAATGTGATGGCACTTAGAGAAAGTTATGGACAACTCATCTACCACCACACCAAATACAGCTCAGTAACTTTAAAAACATCTACGTTACAGCCGTTTTTGTGTTTGGTACATTTGATTGGCTGTGGCGGTCATCTTGAATTGGGATCACTCCATAATTTAACGAATTGTAGATGCACATTCAATTATTACTTTCTTGGAGATTCATTAAATTGTGTTCAGCAGTTGATGAAATATTTTGCTAACAGACAGCATTGACGAATAGTTAATGGCAATATGTTAAAATCAGATCCTGCATGCTCAGTTTGCGCTTTTCGTTCGTACGTGTTGGGAGTTACTCTCAGCTTCTAACGCACCATTTTTTTAACTAAATAACAATAATAATAATAATAATAATAATAATGCTGGACATCTTATTTTGGGTTGCCTCCAAAAATTAATCAGTTTTTAGTCGCTTGTCCAAAGTTTACTTTTTGAGGGTTTCATTCAAATCTATTCATTGGGTCAGCTGATTTTTTGCTAACAGACAGACCAATGAACTCACACAGACACGGGCAAAAACATGATCACCTTCTGTGGCGCTGGGGATAACGATGTTTGGAAGCCACACATGAGCCGTGCTCTAAATAATACACAGCCGTGTTTATGTACAGGTGACCGTATCTACAATTAGTTAGGAGTTTACTAAGAAAAGCCTAAAATAAACACAATTTGTAGAAGACGTCCCATTCGTTTGGAGGAACAAACCCCGTGTTCAGTTCTGTTGTTTCCACTTCCTATCAGGTATAATCTGCGTTAAAATGTGTCCAGATGTGCGTGACGTGCACCGTTTCTTCATAAATGCCGGTAAAAGGTGACCTGTGTGTTTTATTGTGCTCTCCTCTTCCTGCCGTCTCGTTTATTTATCACGCAGCGTAGGAAAGATGCATCTTTTTTGCACCGTTTCAATTATTCAAAACGCACAGGCCTTGAAACGTCGTCAGGGCTGACATCTTGATTTTAGTTGCACATCCTGTTCTGACGGCAACTTCTGCCTGAAAAAAAAATCTGAACATCAGTTTTACTGCAGTAAGTCAGAAATATGAACTTCTCCTTATTTGTTTGCTTCATTTAAACCGTGCCAGCTCTGCATCAGGCAGACGTTTGGTCTTATTTTACGTTTCATTAACTGATGGTGAAGCACGTGGACGGACCTAAAACTTAAAGGTGAATTAACCGAGTCGTTTTCACGGGGCAGCTTAAATGTTTGACTTTTTTTCTGTTTAACAATCTGCTGCTCGGCCAATAAGTCTGTACACCGATGTAGAAAATATTGACCTGTTTGTCTTCTGAGCCTAACGTTTGTTTCTAAATGTAAGAAATGGAGAGACTCCTTTTAAAAGCTGTTTATTTATTAAAATGTGTGAACTGTAATTTATTCTCTGCTTCCCTTGACTAATAAATAGTTTTACCGACAGTAAAAGTGCGTTCATTGTGACCAAGTAGACAAATAGGTCCTAAAATAAAACAAAAACTGTTTTTCTCTATTTTACCACATTTGCCAGTTACAATGTACATTTAGATATTATTTATAATTATCGGACGACACAAGAACAAACATGTACCATAAATATAACTGCTGCTAAACCTGAATACACACATGCCAAGCCGTGCATGTCATGGCGCTTTGAGCTCAGTACTCGTTGGGAATGAGCACTTTCTTCATGGACAGGTCTTCAGGGCCGAAGGAGGCGGGCAGCAGCTCGTCCACGGTCATCCTTCTGTATGAGCCGTCAGGCTTGGAAAGGTAAACGTCCCAGTCAGACCCGAACTGGTTGAAACGAGGAAGAACAAAACCGTTTATTGCAAGAAGGCTCGTTTTTCTCAGCACGTACTCGTAAACGCTGAGCGACTTGTTAATAAGAAGCCAGCATTTGTTCATGTGTCACTCAGTGCTGTTCCCTGCTAACCATGTGCCTCCTCGGATAAATAACACCAAGCTGAAACGTGCGCTCTCCCGGTGATGACACGAGACAAAAAGGGCTTGTACCTCTCTCATGAACTGCCTGCAGCCTCCGCACGGGGAGATGAACTGGTCGCACAAGTCGCTGCAGAGAACACGAGTAGAAAGAGGCAGCACATGAACAACAAAAGGTGTTGCAGGTGTACGGGAGACACGCTCTCAACGTGTTGGTTTAGACGTCTACGTGCTGACGGTGCAGAGGCAGGGTGGATGCTTCTAGTGCGGGACATGTTGGTAAGGTATTCATTACCTGGCGATTGCGATGGCCTTGAAACTTCTGTATCCCTCGGACACAGCCTTGGAGATGGCGGTCCTTTCAGCGCACAGTCCCAGGTTGTAACTTGCGTTCTCCACATTGCAACCTGTTAGAGGAAAAAGGAGGTGGGATGATTTTTATTATTTTATTTATTTTTATTTACCCTTATTCATCCAGGTAGTCTCATGGAGCCACGAGAACTCATTTTCAAGAGAGACCTGTTTAGGAGCAGATGGTGGGGGTTAAGGGCCTTGCTCAGGGGCCCAGGGTGGGGCGAACGAGGGTGGAGGCAGGTGTGGGTGTGCCACCTTTTCCACCCACATTTTTTAAAATGTTGACTGTACCAGGAGTTGAACCTGCGACTTTCTGATCACACCTCTGCGCCACCACTCCCCCAAATTTAACGAGATGGAGCAGATCATTTCAAGCGGGGTTCTACGGAAAAGCAGTCAGTATCTTACCTGTTATTGATAGCTCTTTAAATCACCTCAGTTTGAAGAAATAATTTGTTTCATAATAGATTGCCACAATCTCAAAACTTTAATAGTGGTTCATAAACCTCTACGTTGCTGTCAGTTTCACATTCCGTGCTTAGTTAGGCTAAACTGGTTCTTATAGCCACTATTTGCGCTTGCAAATAATTATTAAATTGTATCTAAATAACAGTACTGTTAAAAAATGTAGACCTATTTTGGTCCTGGCCCCGATTGGGCTAGCTGTTGGCTCAAGTAAGAATTCAACTTTATTTCTCCAGTTTAAAATACGGTAAGATAATAATCTATCTGCATAATCCCTCTTTCAAAAACTCTGAACTATCACTTTAATGCATAGCGAGGTGCTTACACTGTAAAAAGGTGGTGGTTTATTTACTTCTCAAACAAGTGTGGGTCTTTGGACTCCCAGCTGTTCACCCCCACCTCCCACCCACATGACGAGACAGGTGACCTGTCAAGCGTTGTCCTGTCCCGTGACACTGACAGGAGCGCTGTGTCCCTTTGACATCTCCACGTGTGTAAACACGGAGGTCCACACACAGACGGAACACGGCTTCAAACGGGACGGGGTGGATCTGTCCTGGAACATTAGTGATGGCCTGCTCTGTGTGGGGACATTAACCTGTTCAAGTCTAGTCCCGGGGTCTGCAACCTGCAGGAGCACATGCAGCTCTGGAGTCCCTCTGCAGCGGCTCTTTCAAACTTTCACCAGAAACTGACATGAAACTGAATTTTATTGTTTATACAAACAACGACAAAGGATTAGTTCAAACAGTTTTCCTGTCATTTCTTTTGTGAACACTGGAGCGAGTACAAGGAGTAAAATATACTTTATTTCTTTATGTGAAGAACTGTGCACAGTTTA